GCTGTATTGCTCTGTCAAAAGGTCGATTTAAGAGAAGCTTGATCGTGGATTATGCGCAAGCAGCAGAAAAAATCAAAGCTCAGCTTAACCCACTATTGGCCACTAAGAAGAATTTGGCATTGACAAGTACCAGAAAGTGTATTAAAAAAAGAAGATAAACTACAGAATTGTAAAGAATCGATTTGATTTTACGATTGTTATTTCAACTTTATAATTACTTTAACTTAACAGAATATAAAAAGTACATAAAACATGGAAATTATATATTAATTTAAATATATTATTAATTTATAAAAGGTATACGGTTTCTTTTGTGCTGAATAAAATGTTAATCATAAATTAATATGATGATCTAAAATCTGGCTTTAGTAGGGTTAAAGCAGTTTTCAGTCCAAGCCAGAGTTGTTGTGTTGCTGTGGCATTTGGCCGAAATGGCAACAACATTTTATTTAACATTCCTGCTGGCTGCTGGCTTTTGTTTATTATTTTTCCTTTTCGTGAGGTGAACCTGTTGCTATTCACAACTTGCGACTGACTGCCAAATAGACAGCCAGTTAAGAACAGAGAGAAAAAAATTAAAATTAAAATAAGGAATTGATTTATTACTCGTATTATTTAAAAGCTAATCTTTCGATTGCTCAACTTTTTGGCCAAACTTTGACTTTGCAGGAAATTACTCATCAAAATGAGTGAATATAGTCTCATATATATTTGGATTTCTATCCATTGGTCTTAAACTTAGTTAATTCTCGAATCTAAAATAGAGCTTATAATTACTATGAAAAGATTTTTTCCAGCGGATTGTGCAAAAATAATAACGTAGACACGGGAGAAACAAAAAAAATCCAAGAAAACCCAACCTCTAATGGGCCCCCACAAGTCAGATAAGCAGAGAGAAAAAATAAAATAAATGAAGAAAAAAACACTAGAAAATAGTCGAAAAGCCGAAAAGCCAAAAGCAGCAGACAACTGAAAGTTGTTGCGTTTGTTTTCGAGTCAAGCGAGTTTGTTGTTGTCGCCTGCAATCACTTTTTTGGCGCAAAATGCTGTGCGAGAAACTCCAGCTCCAGACTGCAGACTATTACTACTTATTGCTATTACTATAATTGGAATGCCGGGCCCCACACACATACTGGGGCCACAATGTCGGTCATACCAATGGTTTGTTCTTAAACAATAATTTAAAAATGTAAAACAATATATATTATAATTATTTATTATATAAAATAAAGAAAATTAATAAATATAACTATTTTTCCAGATTTAAATCAGTTAGGTAGATAAATATAAATGCAAGCCATATTTTTAACTGAACGATAAAGATTAACAGAGAGCTATTAAGCGCCGAATTTTCGCTACAATAAAACGCAAGTCCAGCGTTACTTTTATTTTTATACTGATCTTGCACCATTAATTAACTTGAAATTTAAATACTATAAAATTCCCAATTATTTCATTTTAATAAATACATTTTTTTAAGACCTTATATTACCCAAAAAACCTAATATTTTGACAGCATCTGTAACTCCACAAATCTTTAGACCTTAGGCTGGAGCAGGCGAACTTAGAAAATGAAACTGAGCCACAACAATCGCAGCATAAACTCTAAATTGCTCAATAGGCGCCCCCAACACCAACCAATTGCAGCCACAATAATGATTTCGTATCCCTTTGGGACACGGGCACACACACGCCCTGCGAACACCCAGCAAATAGATAGCAAACTAACAACAATAAGCCCAACTAACAAGCAAAAAGACAACTAACTCTCTGGCTGAAACCTTGGACCCAAAAATATAGTACATAACAAATACCCTTTGCAAAGTGCCCAAGAGCTTGCATTCTTTTTTTCGGACTCCACGGCCCCCATTCAAAGATTCCAATGGAGATCTTACACAATGGTTCCTAAGTGCATAAACCATGCATACATGCCTGCATTAAGTATTTTGTCTTGACTTTGTACTCTTTAAAGATAATTTAATAAATTACAAACATTTTCTTGAAGAATATGCTTCAAGGGAGCAGTTTTCCTAAAAACTCTTTGAAATTAAGAAAATATCAACAAAATTCTACTAATATTAGGTATATTATTTGCTTGAATATTCAGATACTTATGAAGAGAGCAACCACTTTCTTCCTCAACAACTCGCCCCCACATTGCAATTCTAGAGTTTAATTTCCATTTTTTACAATTTTATAATTTATATACATAAAATCCCTTTACAACAACCTTTAGTAAGAGCATTCAAAAGTCGATGTTTCACACATTTTATTTAGTATTATATTGTCACATGGCTGTTGAGTAAATTCTCATCAGCCAAGACAACAAAAAGCCAAAAGAAAGACTCATTTCACAAACAAATTTATACACGACACTAAACACAGTTGGAAAAAATACAAGAGGGAAATAATAATAATAAAGAAAAGCAACAGAAACAGACATTTTGGCATAAAAACAAATGCAAATTAAAAGCACAACAACGGGGCAGCAGAGAAGAGATGACGGGAAGACTGAAGACAGAAGACTGCAGAATTAAGATGACAAAGAAATCGTAAAACAACGACCTCAACACAGACCAAAAAAAGGGATACATTTAGAGGTTTTTGGTTTGTTTTTAAGCTTTCTACAAATTAAAGAAAGAATTTTTTAAAATAATTTTTAATGTAAAATTAATTGTTTAAATATCTCGAATAGATAAAGTCCCAGGCAGTCTAAATGCTAAAATAAATAAATACCTTGACACCCTGTCAAGTGTTTTTCGGCTCGACAAATAAAAAACATCTAAGATAACAGAAAGGTAATTAAAGAAGCGTCTTGATAGTTCTTTTAAGAAGTGTCCTTACCAGGATACTGTTATTCTTTATCGTTTAGATAAATTTTAGGCGTCGAAAACCCCGATTTGTTGTTCCGACAAATTTAGCAGGGACTTTAAACAGGGAAACAAGAAGGCAGGAACATATTATGGCCTGCCTCGTGTTTTTCTTTAAAATCAAAACTAATATGTATAATTAGCCATATCGTAAACATAATTTTTTGGTCTGTCGGATATAAAAAAAAAGCCAAATTTGGTACCAATAAATAATGACCTTGTCGTGCACCATAATATTTCGAACAGTGTGACAAAAAACTTTTGTTTTCTTTTTCTGAGGCGGGCCACACATTTTTACAGCCATTCGCCCCAGGTAAAAGCAACAACAACAACAACAACAACAGCGACAACAACCACTATTATAACAATTACAACAAAAGCAACAAAGGCGAGCTGAAAAAGTAAGTTACTAAGTCAACATTGGCTTGTAACGGGACGCACTTTCACTTTTAGATTTTATTATTCCCTCACTTTTTGTTGCTGCGATGCTGCCGCCTTTCTGCCTCATAAAAAAGGGGGCGTGGACTGGCCCAATAATATTCCCAGCATTAAATATGTATAAATTATATATTATATTATATATTTTTAAATAGGATTTTTTGTAATGAAATAAATAGCAAAACAAGCGACACATAATAAATACTCGAAATGGCATTTTTTTCGATTGGCAAATAAAATTACTCCATTTCGTACGATGCGGGTTTAATTAAGGCATAACAGGGCGGTAGTTTTATCCGATTGAGATCGGTACATATGTATACATATATTGATTGGAAATCGTTCGTTAGTGCTATATATATATTTTTATTATGCAATTCGCAGTAATTGGCAACATGACAAAAAGCAACCGTTACTGTTTTTAACGACGCTTTTACTTTTCTTTTATTAATTATGGCTGCCCAGCGATTATGACAGCGATTGAAAAGCCATTTAAGCCAAACTACCAAGCAAAAGACAAAAATGTGTAGAAAATTTGAAACTAAGAAATCTAAAATTAAACTAAAACAAAATTAAATACTGTTAAGCAGAGATATAGGCAATTTGTTGCTTTTTTGAGAATCGCCTCAATCGCTGGTATATTTAATTTTTGGTGGAATAGGTAATCAGTATAAAAAAAATGTTCGTTATAAATATTAAAAGCACTAAATACTGAATTTCTATTATAGTTATTATTTATGTATGTAATGAACAAATAGAAGCAAATAATTTATAAAGATTTCAATTTATAAACATTAATTACACATTTGTCTTAGAAATTGATTAATTTAAATAAAACTTAAATTAAATTGATTTATTTTATTAAAATCAAATTAATATTGTCTTTTGTCAATGGTACAAGATTGTTATTTTTATTTTAAATTTTTTTAAGATATCTGGGTATGTTCTGGAAAATATCGCAAAACAACATATGATTTAATGACAAATTTGTTGTAAATATATCACTCCGCAAAGTCGAAAAGTTGAGATTTATTGAAAGTTAAGTTATTTGGAACTGCTGTTTCCAGGTGTCGATCTTTTTAGTTATTTAACCGAAGGTTATAAAGAGAAGTCCTAATAATTTCTACTTGCTAACTCTTTTTTAAGCTGACTTTTACGTTCCTTTGCCAAAGTCCCTTTCAACTTTCTGATTGGAAAATATAACCACCAGATAAATTTGTAGTTGTTTAATTAATCTAAACGTGAGTGATTAAAAGGGTGATGTGAAGGACCACGTTACTCAAAAAACAGCTGTACTGCCTTTTCTAATTCTTCAGTTGACTAAGTTAAACAGCTGTAAGTTAGCCAAGCCAAAATTATTATTGACAAGGAGTCGGGGTCACAATTAAAGTCAATAACAACCGAATTTTCATAACAGGGACTTTATATGTCGACTAAATTTCATGCTGTTTTTATATAAATAAACTTATTAATCGGATATGTATGTACATGTATTTTTATATTAAGTACATCTCTATTTAATAAATCATTTTAACATTTAATCCTTCCTTTTTTCTTTGGAGTTTTCTGTTTTTCATGACAAGAACTCTGTACTTTAAACCCACCGATTAGTGCTTGCTATTTACCGCATTTCCTCGACTAACTAGTTCAGATTGTAATTGCTTTGTCCCAGAAGCTGGAACGATCGCTCACCTGGCTGTTGCTGCAGTAGTAAATGTCCGACATCCTGGATCACTGCCCTCCAGCGGCGCCTCCTCCTGCTTCCGCTCCTTGCTTTTCCACCTTTCTTTTATTACGTTCTTGGCAATGTCAACTCTTCACTGTTTGTTGTTTTTCTTTTTCAAGTGTATTTGGGACACCAGGGCAGCATGACCACCAAGTGATCCGGGGATCCAGGCGAGCAGGTGGGCCAGCTGAACTGCACTGCACTGAGCTGAACGGCCCTAGGCTATATGGCAACCTGTTTTCCGAGCTCGCGGAAAAGTGTCACACTACTTTTGTAATCTGTAAGGCAGTTGACGTCGTTTATTGTTACGTTCCTGAAGATCGGATTAGGGTTTCCGCATATTTATCCCGCAAATAAAGACGAACAAAACCGAGCAAACGGAAAACAACAAAAAATACAACAAATAAAACAAAATAAATATAAAACAAAGCTGCTCTTCACGCTCTGTCTTGCAGAACACACCACTCGCTTTTCTCGCTTTTCCAACGTTTCGTTCGCTTTTCTCCTCTTGAATTTTTAATGCGCCCGCGCGCACCTTTCCTTTAGCTTTAACTCTGGGATACTGGATACCGCTCGTAGTGCTTAGAAGAGTGCCAGTCCGTTTCGTTGGCCACAACACGACCGCCTCGAGCGGAGCTAAGACGCAAACTAACTTGGCCAGCCGCCAACTTCTTCGGCGGCGCAACGAAAGTTGTCGCAACCAGTTTTGAGTTTGTCTTTTCAGTTTTGAGTTTAAATTGCGAGCCAGACTTTATAATATTTATTTGATATTTGCACAAAGAGAGTGTGAGAGAGAGAGGGCGCAACGTTGCATTTTAAGCCGGTAACTTACCTTTGCGCTGATTAATTTCCATTGGGTGCTTAAAGAAAAAGTACCAGAGTAAAATTATTTTACTCAATAACTCAGGCTAGGGTTAAACCTTAACTGGAAGTTTAAGTAAAGAAGAAAAGAAAAGCACCAGAACATTTTTATAAGGCTAGGTATGTAACAAGAAGGGACAATTATTTAAATAAATAATCGAAAGAAAAAAATCCGATATCATATCGAAACTTCAATCGAAAATATCGTAATATTTTTTATGTTCCACAAAGTGAATATCAAAAAAACATAATACCCTGAATATATAAATATTATTACCATCAAAATTAAAAAATTAAATGTGATAAAAATATGTGTTTAATTTAAATAACAACAGTAAACCAGAAAAGGTTGTTTTTTCTTGGTTCATGTTATAGAATGTGCCCTGTACTACCTCGAATTTTCGAGTGATTGACCAATCGTTATCTTCTCTGGTCAAATTTTCGAATAACAGCCGACCGTTATTTTTTATGGACACGTACATGCTACTGGCACTCTTAAGAGCGCTGTTAGCAAGCACAGCTGTTAGCGCACCGCTGGCCGCTTTCCAACACTGTTGGACTGTGTCGTTAGCAATCAACTTATTTTGTTAATATTGTTTTGAGGCCTTTCGTTTGGTTTTGTTTGGCTTTTCCACTACGTGATGAGACACCCGGCCTAGCGAACGGTTCCAATGGCACGCAATGTGCTCGAGAGCAGCCTGCTGGGCGCCGGCTTCAGCATCATCTTTCAGGTTAGTCCCAGTGTCCCAGGTGTCCCAGATTCCCAGACGCATTCTATTCTTTCCTACTTTCCTGGGCCTCCGGCATTACTCATCGTTTGCCTTATAATGCCCCTACAGATACTGTGCCGCATCCTCACCTTCGGCATTAATGCGTACATCGTGCGGCATGTGGGACGCGAGGTGCTGGGTATCATGAACGTTCGCCTGCTGCTCCTGGAGAGCACCCTGCTCTTCCTTTCCCGCGAGGCCATCAATCGGGCAGCGCTGAGTGCCAATGCCCAGCAGGGTGACCGCTGCACCTGGGCGCAGCTCATCAATCAGATGTGGCTAACGTAAATATATCCACTGGGGGAAGGGGAGTCCCCCTTAAAAATTAGTAATTCTTTCAAGTTAAAGAAGGAGTTGTGAGTTTTTGTGATAGCAATTGGGATCTAAACATTTTTAACAAAAAATTCAAATCCCGGGAAATTTAAAAAACTCTTTTGAAAGAATCGATTTTGATAAATATTTATTGCTTTGGTTGATATATCATTATTGCATCATGCTCCTATCTAATCTCCACCCTCTCTCTCGCTGCCCTCTTCTTTCTAGGGTTCCCATTTGTGCTGTGCTGTGCGCTCCCTGCCTGTACATCTGGCTGAACTGGCTGTCGGCCGTGGACGCCATCTATGCCGCCCAGTACGAGTTCGCCTGCTACGCGGTGGCTTTGTCCTGTGTCCTGGAACTGTTCGCCGAGTCGGCGGTGTTTGTGGCGCAGGTCTTTTGCTTTGTAAAACTGAAGATTCTGCTGAACACGCTCCACATCCTAGTGCGTTCGGCCATTTTCCTGTGCATCGTGACGGGCGACCGGAGTGCAGCGATTAATGCCTTTGCGATCGCACAATTGTCCAGCGCTGTGACCATTGTCGTTGGCCAGTACGGCTTCTTTTACCTCTACCTGAAGGGTTTCAAGAGCTACGTGGCCCAGCAGTCGCGGAAGAAGCCGCCGGCGGCCAAGGCATGGCAGGTATCGCTGTACGAGCACATGGATGATTTTCCCTTTAAGCAGCTGCGCGACTTTCTTCCCGGCGTCATGTTCAATCCGAATGGAAAGCCCTTGAACCGGGAACTGCAGACCCTGACGCTGAGCTTTGTAAAGCAGGGCGTCCTCAAGCAGATCCTGACGGAGGGCGAGAAGTACGTGATGTCCGTGTCGCCAGTGTTGAGTTTTGGGGAGCAGGCCACCTATGATGTGGTCAACAATCTCGGCAGCATGGCCGCCCGCTTCATTTTCCGGCCCATCGAGGACAGCTCCTACTTTTACTTCACGCAGACGCTGACCCGGGATCTGAGATTGGCGAAGCAGCCGCCGGAGCGTGTGCGCCAGGCGAGCAGTGTCCTAAACAATCTACTCCTCGGCGTTAGCTCCATTGGCCTAATAGCGTTCACCTTCGGCCAGAGCTACTCCCATCCCGTGCTGCTCCTCTATGGCGGCCCAGACTTTGTGGCCGGCGGCCTCCCGCAAAGTCTACTGCAGTGGCACTGCCTGGCCATCTATCTGCTCGCCGTGAACGGGATCAGCGAGGGCTACATGTTCGCCACGAACACCAGTCGGGATATCGACAAGTACAACTATCTGATGGCCATCTTCTCGGTCAGCTTCCTGGTTCTCTCCTATATACTGACCGGCATTTTTGGGCCAGTTGGCTTCATCTTCGCCAACTGCATCAATATGTTGAGTCGGATCCTGTACAGCACCTACTATATCCGGCAGCAGTACCGACCGCTGTCGCTGAATCCGTTGCTGGGTCTCTGGCCGGGCAAGCTATTCGGTGGCACGCTCCTCCTGGCCGGTACGGTTTGCTATTGGGTAAGTCTTACAGCGAGTTTATAATTTATGAATATTAAATTTTGATTAATTTTACAGTACCAAAGCTCTGGTCTGGGCACACATCTGGGCGTGGGTGTCCTGGCTGGAATCGTCTGCCTTCTGTCCTGGGCGCTGGCCCATCGGGATCTGGTGCAACTGGGCTGGCGCTATGGCCGCCGCATTAAGATCGATTAGAGGCAGCAAAAGGACCTTCCTCCCCTCCCGCTCTCTAGGCGTTACTCGCTTCTCTGGCACCGAGAATCCACGATGCAAAAGCGCACACAGTTCCAATAGTTATGGACGTTTTTATAGATAGTTGACAATTGTAAATTAATTCCGAAAATTAAGTTATTGTACTTGTTGAGTGTTTTTGTAGAGCTTGATTGCGATGGGATTATTTACTGTTAAGATGTGCATTAAAAGACAATGATAAATGTTTAAAGTGTTGAATTTGTACACGTCTTTCCTTCAAAATAATTTATAAAATCAAATTAAACTCATGTAAATGGAGTTTCGGGATTCTATTTAATATTTTATTATATATTATTAAGAATATTATATATACATATTTTAGTAGTTTTATTTTTCAATTATTTAAATTATGTTTCAAAATAACTACAACGGATATTATTAAAAAGAAAATATAATATTTCGAAGAGAAGGTTGCAAATATTTAAGGATTTTCAAAATTATGTAAGTACATATTTCAATGTTTTTTTTTTATGGAACTACAAGATGTTTTAAAATCTTGTACAGTTTTATTTAGATATTTTTCTTAGAATAAAAAAATTCGTGGAAAAAACAAAGTTTGCTAATTTAACACTAACGCCAAATAATGATAGTTGACGAAAATACCCTAACGCCTAGCTGCTTGATACCAGAAACTACCAAGGAGTCATGCCGTGTTAGTATGCAGTAACTTACAAAAAACACATATATACAATAAATGTTTAAGGAGTATACTTTATGAATAAAATTATACAATAAATTTGTAGTAAAACAATCTTGAATAATACATATTTTTCGCTAAATTGATTTTTGGTTGAATGAATAAAAAATACCAACCACCTGTCTTTTCAGTGTGTCCTTGGCAATTGGTCACACTAAACAACCGAGCGCGCAAGTAAATTTTCGTTTTGTTTGCTGCTCTTTTCGAGGATTCTGCCGGCGAATATGAAACGCACCAAAGACGACGGCAAGGAGGAGTCAGGCGCCGACCCGGCTGGCCCCAGTGCCAGCAATGGCACCGACGTCACAGCTCCGGGAGCTGCAACTTCGTCCAGTGCCTTGGCTGCCGCTGCGGTCGCGGCCTCGGTTCGCACAACGGGACGGGTGAAGGTAAGTTGTTGGCAATACTGCCTTGCGCCTCCCGCGGCTCACTTTCCCGATTTGCCCCGCAGAAACCCAAGCAGGTATACGATCCCTCCGACAACTACATATCCCGAGCCAGCAATCGCAGCTCCCTGGCCGGTGGCGGAGCAGCGAGCACTGCATCGGCCGCCGGGGTGGCCAGCAGTGAACAGTCGCCAACCGCAAATGTGTCGGCAGTCGTCTCAGAGGCCAACGACTCGCTGGACTCGAATCCCAGTCCTTCGGCATCGGAGAAGCAGCAGCAACAGCAGCAGGCACCGCAGCCGCAGCAGAGCCGCAACTTTGACACGTGCCAGAAGTGCAGCAAGAGCGAGCCCAAGCGAGGATCTGGTCACAAGAGCAACTTCCTAACATGCAAGACCTGCATGCAAAAATGTAAATATTATCTATAAAAAATTCTCTCACATGTAAGAAATCATCGTTCAATAACTTACCCTACATTCTTTCTTCTTTCAGGGCATTTTCCCTGCTTGGCAGTGAACTTCGACAATCTTGTCCTCGCCCGAAAGAAGTACAAATGCGAAAAGTGTCGCTACTGCAATCTATGCAACATACGTGGACGCAATATTCCCATTTGCAGTGTTTGCGTTGAGCCCTATCATCCGCACTGCAACAACAAGGCTCTCAAGCCGAGCGCCAAAGCCATCGAGGTTGATCCCAAGTGGAAGTGTTACCGTTGCGAGGGAAGCAACAGCAACATTAGCAATCACGACAACAGCACCATCAACAACACCAGCTCGTCTGGCGGAGAACATGCATCGCCATTGGTTAAGAAGTCGAATGCAGGGCGCAAAAAGCGCGTTCAGTCCGATACGACTGGTCAGAAGAAGCCAGCCAAGATGGAGAAGTTGGAGAAGCTTGAGAAGTTGGAGAAGTTGGAGAAGCTTGAGAAGTTGGAGAAGCTTGAGAAGATGGAGAAGCTTGAGAAGATGGACAAACCGGACAAAGTAGATAAGCCGGAAAAGTTAGAGAAGCCGGAGAAGCTGGGAAAGTCGAAGAAGCCGGAAAAGCTGAAAGAGCATAGCCCGCCACAAAAATTCAAGAGGGAGCCGGAGGATCCTGACGACCAGGACAACAACCAAGAGAAAAAGCAAAAGTTGGAGGAACCCGAGCAGATCGAAGAGTCCCCGCCGATTAATAATGATGCTTCCTCACGTCTATCGACACCCTCACCGTCACCCGCAGAAGCAACTGATGCCACCACCGCCACCACCGCCGCCGTTGTGGACATACAGATAGAGACTGTGTCCACCTGGACCGTGGAACAGGTGGTCGACTTTGTTGGCAAGCGCTATCCCAACGAGGCGAGTGCGTTCCGCTATCAGGACATCGATGGCGCCTCGCTGCTGCTACTCACCCGTCAAGATGTGATGACCCGATTCGGCCTGAAGCTGGGACCGGCGCTGCGCGTCCTTGAACTAGTCATGTCCCTGCAAACAAAGTCCGATAATGTGTCCATTGCCTGGTTGGATTAGCCTCTGATACAACTAGGACTGTGCGTTGTATTCCCCTCTCTCCCATCACTTCGCCCGTTCGCTTCAAGTGCTTATATTAAGTCTTTGGGCGACACTTTTCTCTATAAGTTATATATGCTATATATTCGCGAAAAACGACTCGTTTATTTCCTTTGAATATTAAATTCAATTCAATATTTTTTTTGAAAACCCATTTACTTTTAGGTAACACCTTCGTTGAAACACACACAATTTTAGTTTAAATCGCTACGAAACATCTCTTCATTTATTTATGATTAAGAAAATGAAAACGTTTGAGTTTGTTTTTAGTTGTAATTTACGTTAAATAAAACGAAAAAGAAAACTGTTTTTGTGTTCTCATTTTGAATTAAAAAGAAACAGCGTTAAGCAGGGATCCGCTCAGTGCGAATCCTTAGTATTCTGTACTTTATAACACCTATTAAACATGCCCTAGCTTATGATTTTCAACTGTATAAACACATGTATATAAAAACATATATAAATATTAAAATTTTTAATTAAATATGAGATAAAGACACGTGTTTTCTTTAATTTTACTTAACAAATATTTATGTATGTATATATTTGCAGGCGAAATCGCTTCATAAATTGTCCAGACTTTCATATAAACTCTTATATATACACAGATATATATACAAAACACAACACAAACAGTGGAGAACTTGCATCAATCATCGAATGAATGTGGTGGTGGACAACAAATACTGTTCGACGTTTTTCATCCGTGCCAGATTCGGGACTACACGCGCGGCAGCAGCTTCTCCTCGTCGCCTGAGCCGGAAACCTGCATTCCCGCCGTCGACTTGGACGCCGCCTTGGATGGATCGTAGCCGTACAGGAAGATGGAAGCAATGACCAGCCCAGCGCCAAAGCTGAACTGCAGTGTGAGATTGAAGTTGAAGATGTAAATGGAAGCCACGCAGGAGATGATGATGGCCAGCGAGGTGGCGAAGCCCTTGAGGATGTTGTCGGCGTACTTGACCACGACGGCCACGATTAGGCCACCGCCGGCCTGCAGGAGTACCAGATACCAAACGAACAGATCGTATCCGTTAAAGAAACCGTGGTCGTAGATCCTGCCGGCATCGTTCACGAAGCAGGTGAGCAGGCCGAAGGGAATGCTGAGCAGACTGAGCTGCACATTCCTCATCCACACGGATATCTCGGCTCCCTTGAGGATCTTTTCGAAGTAGATGCCCGCAAAGCCGGACAGGAAGCAGGCTCCCAATGCAGCCCATAAGCCCAGCATCCGATTTTGCTCAGGCGCTCCAGCAGCGGCGGCAGATGCGGCGGTGGCTGCCACAGCTCCTCCACTGGCGGAGCTACTACTGGGAGCCTCAGTCTGGGCCAGTTGAACCAGAACAATGCCCATCACCAGGAGCAACAGGGCGCCCCATTGCGTTTTGAGCAGCTTGCGGTGCAGTATCACCACTGCAAACATGGCCGTGGTGAGGATCTTCAGCTGGTAGGTCACTTGGTAGGTGGCCGCATCCAAATGGGAGGCGGACACGTACAGCAGGTTATTCTGGACGATGTAAACCAGCGATGGCACGCACACCTTCAGTGTGTCCACTGGGTTGGCAATGATGGTTTTGTGCAGCGATCGAACGAACTTCTGGGCATCCTTGCCCTCCTCGTTGAAGACCAGGAACAGGCAGGTGATCAGCTTGGCAAACTCCGCCATTAGTACGGCTGTGAAAGTGAAAGTATACAATGTAAAAGCCAAGGTTGCAGGGTTTGGACTATGGAGTATCCCCTGTATAAGCATTAAAATATTGTTAAATGGATATTAATTGAATTCTCTTAAGAGACCAAAGCAAAAAAAACAAACATTTAAAGCGAACAGGCTTAAAAATGTTTAAAATAAATGTCTCTCAGCTTTTGTTCACTAAAGAATCTTTTCCAAGTCCGTTTGCGAACATTAAGCGAGACTTTTTTCAATGCTTGCGGAATTAAATCGATTTTAAATGGATTTAAGAACATTTTGCAATAGTTTAAATTTAAAATCCTCTTTAAATTAGATAGAATTAAACCCAATAATCTTTTTAAAAATGTTATTCATAGTTTACAAGTCTTTGTTTTATCTTGGTGAACTGAAAACCCCCCTCAAGACCTAACAATATTTCTTTATCTAACTTTCTGTGGGCCAGTGTAGGTGCCACAAGCGGAAGTAGTTCAGCTTATCAGCTTCCCATGCCGTGCTTCAGCTTCTCCTCCTCCTCCTCCTCCAGCGGCTCTAGCGCCACTGGTATTGCTTGCGTGGACAGACCCACGTATGAGCGTTATGTGCCACATCTAACCTCCACCTCTGCACCTCTACTCACCCGTTGAACTGAGAAAGATCTCGCCGGGCCGGGTGCGGGCATAGCGCATGCTGAGGCCAAGGATCGCATTCTGGAGCGTCAGCGTCAGCAGGCTGATGTACTTCAGCGTGTTGGTGTTCACTGGACGATAGTAGACGGGTGCGGGTAGCATGGTGTCAGTACAGCAGTTCTGGAGCGACGGCGGCCAACTAAACACATAAACCCCATCTACTCACTGTGTATGTTCATTGTGCTCCAAGTTGTGTTTGCCTTTTATTCCGATTCCAATTCAAAAGATCCCCAGAGCGGGGGCAAAACAATGGGAGGCGGGAGAGGAAAGCAAACAAACGCCGCGGCTATATTCTGAGATCCAGAGACGACGACGACGACGAACCTTTCGGAAACACCTTTCCAGCTTCAGTCTTCGGTTGCCCGTCCTTCAGTTCGCGTGACGCTTCAGAGCTTCAGAGTTGCTGTTGGCTCATCAAGTTTTCCCAGTTTTGGCCAAATTTGTTGGTGTTGGCAGTGGAAATGAAGACGACTCGACACGTAAACAACAACTGAAGTTTCCAAATGGCAGAAGCAGCAGCAAGTTTTTTATCGTCATATTGTTGTTCTTGTTGTTTTTCTTGTTTTTGTTTTTGTTGTTGGGCCGGTCATTTCGATAACCAAAAAAAAAACAGGGATGACACTTTGGCGTGACCCTCATTAGCAGAATCACATCAAACTTTAAAAGCTTTAAATGGCAGAAATTCACATTTATTTACTTAGCAATTAAAACGACTGGTTTAAATATATATATTTTTTCCTATAGTCAAGCATGAAATAATATAAATGTTATTAATTTGTTTGTTCAGCTGGTTTGCACAATTGTCCAAACATATCATCAGCTGTTTTCATTCAATGTTTACCTGCTCATCCCTATCGATTAGCATATATTTATCGATAGCACAGAAATCGTAACTACTGGTTTTTATATTTGCAAATATTTATTAGTAAATTTCGAGGAGAATTGTAAAACAGACTGCCGGGCAGGTCATCCACCTAATCCATGCCATCAAGATGAGTCCTTGGAGCAACGGCTTGAGCTGCCGGGCACTAGAGCAACAGATGTCTTGCAGCTTGGTCGGGGGATTCCTCCATCTGTTTGACTATGTCCCACCGGAACTGATTACTCTGTTTATATCCAACAGGTGCGTATTTTTACATCTATATAGATTTCTTTTAACATTCAATTAGTTTTTTTTTGCCCCTGCCTGTAGTGGTGGCCACGCTTCCTCGATGTTTACCGCCTGCTCATGGAACTGTATCATCCGGAGGATCTGGAGATTTGAAATCACCTTATTGCGACCTATAAATTAAAGTGCATTCAAAGATTTACGGCTTTAGGAACAGAACAGGTTCGTATCGTCCCTTAATTGGATGTGTCCTATGCTGTATTGGTGATGGGCCGGCCCGTCACTTGAGGTTGGTTGGATTTACCATACTGGAATCGAAAAAGGACTCCATTCGCTGGAGAGATGCTTTTGGCAGAGGCCTGGTGCTTGCCGAATTGACGCACTGCTCAACTTAAGTGACGAACCAATTTATTGGCACAGTTGGCATGACGTTACCTTAAAAGGTAAATAATGTGCTCTTGTTACAAATTGCTAACTATTAGATATTTAAAATTTAAAATATAATATAAAAACAACAAAAAATATGTATGAAACTTCAAGCAAAAATAGATATTTTTAAAAGCAAATTGATTGATTGGGTCTAGTCTGAACTAGTCAATCAATCTGTCCGTTTCTACGCAAACAAGTCCTATTTGAATCTTTAAAAAGTTTCCATGGTTAGCAATAAAAAGTATACAAGTTACGAACGATTTTATAGCTTTTATTGCTATTTCAGGTATTTTTGTATTTTGTTTGTAGGTTTTCCCTTTCAGAAAGAACCGAAAACCGGCGGGCCTCAACAAATCTATTGATTTATATTCTGCAGGAGCTGGGTAAAGTCCGCCAAGCTATCGGCATAGTAATCCGGCTGCGCCTCCACCGGAGCACTCAGCATATCCTCCTTGGTGAGGCACCCGCTGAGCACCAGCAGGGATTGGTAGCCGCACGCCTTCCCAAACTGCACATCCTGAACCAGGGTGTCGCCAATGAAGATGCACCGCTTGGGTTCGCTTATCTCAAACATCTCGCTGAACATGTCGCCCAAAATGGGTGACGGCTTGCCCAGAAAGGTCGCCTCCCGTTGGGTGTACCGCTTCACATGCTCCAAAAAGTCAAAGAAACCGGCCACATTCAGATTTTCTGCCAAGGGCATAATGACATCACTGCCCCCGGCTATCAACTGGCAATCATCGTTCTCCTGCAAATGCCTAATGGCCTTGGCCAACTCCACGTACGACAGGTCCAAGTGAATGTCGAAGAGAACGGCTCCAACGGGCTTTTCAATGGCCAGATAATCGACAAGCGAGGCGGCTGTCAGGTGCTCCTTGATGTTCTGAAATACAGTAAGGGGCGTTTATGTAATTTTTCCCCAAGGTGGCAGTCAAAAAACTCCTACCAGCGACTCGTACTCGATGTTGTGCTTACGCAACGTCTCGTTGGCCTCCAGGGACATGAGGGAGAAAACCCTTTCCCCCGGCTTATGCTTCTTCAGGTACCTTACAATGGTCTTCACCGGATGCACGATGTCGTCTTCGTGGACATTCTGGGCGCCGATATGCCGAAACTTCTCCATGTAACCCTCCTCCGAGCGGAAGCTATTGTTGGAAACGAATTTGATCTGCTTGCCGGCCGCCTTCAAGGCATTGACTGCGGGACCGGTGCCGGGAATCCAGCCCACGAGCAGCCAAACGACGCCATCACAATCGCTGATGACCAGGTCGAAGGACTCGATGAACTGGCGCTGCTCCGCCAGGCTCAGCTTGAGGATGTGACGCGGCGGCGACATGGATATATTAATAAGAATGGCTGGCTATATATGCTTCGATGGATGCTGGTTGCGCGCGCACGGAAATTCCACAGCCGACTGACTGCCTTTGCCGGCAGTTAACTTTCAATGTCAACGCTATGACATTGGTCCCCCAGCTCTCCTCAAGCCCTAAACTATATGTGGAGGTATGTACGTACGCCAGCCCAAGTCTCTTTTATTGCACGATGAATTAGCTAGCCGAGCCGGGCTGAGTGGCTTCCCGTTTGATAAGATTCAGTATGTAAATAGACGCCTCTTCTGAGTGGGAAGCGGCGTAAAAGAAGAGTGTTCTGTCTATTTTCTTGTCTTATCATCCGGCAGCCAAGTGATGTTCTTTCTTAAAAAGGGAAATAAAATATATCTACAAAGAACCCGAAGAATGTTTCGTTAGCTTCCCTATTGTTTTGGGATTTTTGTTTATTGACTATTCAAAATGTATTCTTTGCTGTTAGCATTGACTTTCCATAATTGAGGGATTATGAGCTAAAAAATCATTACATTTCAGAATGTCCTTGCGCTTGACTGCACCATTTGGTGCCTAACAGCACTCTGTTAGCGTTTATCGCTTGGATAAATTTCAAAAGAGTAGAAAACCGAAAACCCATGGAGAGGTTATTATGATTTTAGTTGAAAGTTTGCAATGCAATGTAGGAGATAAATATGTATGTATATATATATATCCGATCTTATAAAGTATATAAATATTTGGTTTTACAATATATATATATATGTATGTATATCAATTTTTTTTTTAATTTTCTTGATATAACCTTTCGTTATTCAACTTAACTTTCATGTAAACTTATGAGTTTCAGGCAATAAAATACTGAAAAGTAATATAATGATAATAAATCGTACATATATAACATATAATAGAAAGTGAAAGACCTTGTCAATATTTTTGATACGAGTTATTGAAGGCGACTTTAACAGACACTGCCTTTTGGTTATCGATCGATATGCCTTGGTTTCTGTTTACATCGTTAAATGTCGTTGCTTGTTGCTCTTTGTTGTTCTGTCCGAGCTTATGGGGCTATTACATGCACAAACATGTACAGTAGAAAGGGTAATTATGATTTATATTATTTAAATACTACGAAGGCACAATTAAAAAGCAAATGTAATATTATTTTTTAAGATTAGGTTACAACTAAAAAAACATATAAGCCAAAAACATGTTTTATTTATAGGTACATATATTTTTAATTGCTTACCACCGATTTAGGCATCAATTGTATTAATTGAGGGACTTAAATTGCAAACTGTAGAGATCTTTGGGGCAACCCAAAGCTCAAAATAATACACACTTTTAAATTAGTTTCATATATTCAACTTAATCTAACAGCTAAAACTAAAAATAAAACAATTCTGAACCCATTACTATGTGATTTTAACATTACTATAAACTAATGCCAGGCTTAACTTGTTAACTTTCCAAGATTTCCCCCTCTTTCCTCTATTTTCGTAGATTCCTTGCCTTGGTGCTATTTATAATCCAAGTAACTGTAAAGTAATTGTAACTTCTCCCTGTGGGTTCTCCCATCGAGGGCCCACTGTGGCCCACACGTCAACACCTTGACATTGATTGCTGCGGCATTTTTCCCCCCGCCGCGAAACAGAAAGGCAAGAAAGCCATCGAAAGCGACGGAGGAAACCACAAATGGAATGAAAATGGAACTGGCCAATAATTCAGATGCAACATTTCAATTTTGTGGTCGTCGTGTCCGTGTTCGTTCCCGGAAAAGAATCAAATAGAAAAAAAAAGAACGAAAGAAGGCCCATGGGCCGAGCACTTGATATGCACATACGTACACGGTTTGGGTTTATCACAAGTCCAAATCGATTGCCGCCGGTAAAGTTAGTTTAGTTAGGCGTCTCTCCGATAAGATACGGGTACGAGTGGCGACCGAGGAGACCGGAGAACCGCAGAACCCGAGTTGACGCAGCCAGAGCAGAGCAGAAGAAAGCCACACTCTGGCCCACCGAGCTCGGGAGCAATTGTCTATCCACAGCAGTTATACAATAAGTTTGCGAAATTGCCACCATGTCTGCGGTTGCGGCTACGAATAGCGGAGAATTACCGGCCGAGGAAGAGCAGCCGGCCCCCCTCAACATCCTGGGTCAGCTGAAGACCATCGAGCAGATCAACGAACAGCGCAGGATATTCCTCAACGGGACCATCACCGAGGAGGGAACCGTGGGCAATGGCAGCGCTGAGGTCCAGGAGGATGAGGAGGTTCTGGAGCGGAATCTAAAGGAGCTGGAGAAGAAAACGGAGGTGGCGATGGCGGTTGTCCAAAAACCAGATCAGGAGCCTGAAAAGGAATTGTCGGAGAACGGGGACAAAGAGAAGTCACCGGAAGTGGAGCCACCAAACGAGGAAAAGCCACAGCCGCCGAGCACCTTATCCCTAAACGTAAAGTACGCCACGCTACCCAGTCCCAGTACTGTGACTCTCCGGTCTCCGCTCTCTCCGCCACCAAAACCGCCCATGCTGAGTCGCACCCGGAGCATAGGCTCCGGCGATGGCAAGAGTCCCGTCTCGCCCGCCAGCACGCCGATCCGCCAGAGCTTTCCCGCGGCAGCGCCAGCTGCTGTCACAACGCCCACACAGACCTCGCCGGTAGCAGGAAAGTCTGGCGAGGAGCAGCCGCTAGCCACTGTTTCCGCCAAGCACTACGAGGGCCTGATCGAAGAGCTGCGCTGCCCGGGATGTGCCGGTGCCATGAAGGCGCCCATACTGCTCTGCAAGAGTGGCCACAGTATCTGCGAGCAGTGCACTCGCATTCTCCTCATGTGCCCACTGTGCAAGGTAAGAATTGACGTCAGCTTGGCACCACCACGTTCGTTTGGTTATCAATACACCTATCTATCTATATATAGAGTTCCTCGTAGCTTCTTATCTAGTGACGTGTCAGTAAGTAGAAACTAAATAGAAATTTAGGATCAGATTGATATCATCGACGCGGGGTGTGATCTTCAGACGCGATTGAACTCGCGACTTTAATCAACTTTCAAGGGGATATAGACAGGACTATCTATTGTTTATATTATCTATATCTATTCTTATTCCTGATACCATCGATGCTCTTTGCTTCGACAGGAGGCCTTCACCAATTCCCGATCGCTGACTGTGGAGGCGTTGTGCGCCAAGGCTCACTTCCGGTGCGGGCACGCTTCCGGCGGCTGCCAGGTGCGCATGCCAGTGGTCCTGCTGCCATGGCACGAGCAACAGTGCATGTACAAGCCGATGAAGTGCTTCATGGGTCGCGTGTGGGGCGAGTGCCGCTGGCAGGGACGCGAGGTGCAGTGGAAGGAGCATCTAGAGCAAGAGCACACGGACCGGCTGTTCCGCTCCAGCAGCGCGGATCTGGAGTGGAATCTGGTCACGCGGCGAAAGCCGCTCACCGGCTACTATGTGTTCCAGGCCCATGACGAGATGTTCAACTTCTACGAGATCCACGATCGCCAGCGCGTCCTGTTCACCATGACCTGCACCTCGAACCGCCGAGACAGCAAATATAATTACGCCTACGAGGTCACAGTCCTGCAGCCGGACAACGAGGCTCTGTCCATGACCCAGAAGTTCCCTGTGCACAGCGAGTATGACAAGGACATCCTGATGGAGGGCACGTGCGTTAGCATACCCCTAAGCGAATTGAATCGCTTTCTGGACCAGGAGAAGGTAAGACCTGTGCATGTTTAGATGTTGGGAAAAGAAATTAGAAAACGCCTTTTTTCACTGTTCAAATTTCTCGGACAGTTAAAGTTCGGGTTGGGAAAATTGTTTACTTTTTACAGCACAAATCGTAACTTTGTGTTTTTCCTTAGGAAATTTTAAGATGTTGGGGGAAAAAAAGGTGAAACGCTACTGTCACTGTAAAGTTTTCGCGGACAGTTAAAGTTCGGGTTAAGAAAATGGTCTACTTTTTACAGCACTTTGTGGTTTTCGTTAGAATAAATCACAGAATCGTATAAAATGTGTTTTTAAACATGTTTAATAGTTACTTGTTTTTGTTTTTCGGTCGGATATTTTTTATAGTTTTTATAAATAACAGGAGCTTAGATAGATTTGATTTTACCCTAAGTTTATTTGGTATTTAGCTTTCTCGTTAGATGCCTTTTATCGCTTGGATAAATTACAGAAATAAATTTAAAAATTAATTGAAAAGGGAGGGAAGAAGGCAGCCATTATTTATTTTTGTGGGCATGACAATTTTGCAGTTTTTGCAACAACAGTTCCTTAAATTGTCTGGAATAGATTTACACATTGATAAGAAATGTCGACCGTTATCTCAACTAATTTAACGAACGTTATCAGCCAGGTATAAATAAGTACAAAACTGCAAATTATTTAACTAGCTTTAAACAACATTTTATTGGATGGAACCAGAAATCGCAAATAAAGTTATGAATTTAATAAAAAATTACTCTAAATGTTTAAAATGTATCAATATTCTATTCATAACTCTTATTTGCGATCATAAATCATATATATTTAGCGATTCCATAAACATTTAATTAATTTATTGCACTATTAAATATATATTTTATATATTTATTTATTACTTATTTATCGCTCCTTGCCCATCAGGTCCTCCACTATCGGGTCAGTGTTTTGGCAGTCAAGTCACCTCGCCGGGCGAAGCCACCGCGCCAGAGTCTGCCCTCGCAGCCCGTCGACGTCGAGCAAGCTCCGAATGGCGGCATCAACGGAAAGAGTGTGCCGACTAATATGATCATAACGCGCACATACAAGGAGGCCATTGGCGAGGTGGTTGCTGGGCAGACTCCGTCTGAGGTGGCCTCACCGGAAACGGAGGATGATGCGGTGACCGGCGGCAATGGAGTGCCCGAACTCGAGCGAAAGTGGGGCACCCCCCAATTGCATTTCAATCGTAAATATCTAAGGAACACTCTAAACGATGCAACGCCCTTGGAGGATGAACTGCGTCCGTTGGCCGGTGAGCTGCGAAACGGAAACGGCGATGACAAGCTCTCACTGTGCAGCAACAGCACCAGCTACACGAAAAAGGTGTCCGACTCCCTGAGGAGGAGCTTCCGGGCCCTGAAGGCGGACATTGTTGAGTTGCGACCGTTCCACAAGAAGGCCATTAAGGGAGGATCGCCGCCGTCTCCGGTCAAGACCAATAGCAGCCAGTGAGATGGTATCAACAGCCGAGCCTATCTAGCCATGCCCGCTAAAGAATAAACATTTAGCCATCAATAAAATTGTTAAAAACCAAAAACAAAATTATTATTTTTTTTTAAATGCTAAATATAAAGTTATATTATGTTAATTAAAAAATACAATTGGACAGAAAGAAGTATTAAGCTCTACCAAATTGTATATTGTATTTCAACTTTGAAACTAAATATTGAAATAAATCATTTATTTATTGGCATTCAAGATGATAAAGTCATTCCAGGAGATCTTGAACAACATCTTCCTGCCGCTTTCATGCGACAACTCGACCCAGCAAGCATCCGGAGCTGCATTGCTTCCTGCAGTATGTATGTGATTGCTTTCGATTTCGTGGATGATGGGTCCAAGAAGGAGAATCCGCTCTTCGACAACGATGTGTCCCGGCCAGACGAGGGGACGTACGAGGAGAATCCTCTTATGCGTATTACATTTACTATATGTACGCCAATATGACGGTTTTGAATACGTTTAGGAAGTGAACAAACTCGATTTTCTCCCAGTTCTATGAGGCGACCCAATGAACTTCGTCTCGCTCTTTTTGAAGGCGTTCAGGTAAACGCTAGAGCAGCCTTGGGCACAATATGTAAAGGAGAGAGTCAACTTTCACACACACACAAGATTTGTTTGTTTGCAATCATATACCGTTACTCATCTTATTAATTCGAATGCCTTTGGTAATACCCTCTGCCAAATGAAAGACACCTTTTTATATAAGTTTTGGTTGACTAATTTTTAATCTAGGACATACACTAAACACAGCATATACAGCAGGACTTCGCCGCCGAATGCTACAGCAGGCCCTGCATCTCGTTCATGAACTGCATATAGGCATCATCCTTGGTGGGCGGCTTGCTGTGCGCTTCAGCGGGGGCGTGGCTGGCATCGCCTGCCGCATGACGAGGCCTAGCCGCCGTTCGCCGCTGATCCTCGCGCTTCACGCGCAACGTTGACGGGACAAAGCGGGTGACATCGGCACTCAGATTCCTGGAAAAAGTAAATCGTTTAAGGAGAGGAGCCATCTAACTAAAGGGATTGGGATTACCCACCTGATTTGCGGCTTTGCTGTGATGGTGGTCACACCCTTGGCGGAGTCCTTGGGTGGACCACCGCCACCGCTACCGCCCACCTGCTTGTGGTGGGCAAGGCGCGGCGGTAGGCCCGGCGGCGGTCCCGGCGGCATCCGGATGCCCATGCGAGGCATGGGTCCGAGGGCATGCGGTGGTCGTGCTCCTGGTGGTGGTGGGCCAGGAGGCATGCGCAGTCCAAAGCTGGAACCAGCATGGGGCGGTCGCATAGGCGGCGGCCGGTACATCATGCCCGGTGGTCCGATATTGTGAATTGGTGGTAAATGCGGAAGCTGCGGTGGCGCTGGTACCGAAGACGGAGGTGGCAGTGGAATTGCCGGCAGTGTGGGTGCAGCCGGCGGAGCAGGGGCTGGGACTGTGGCAAAGGGTTTCGCTGGGGGAGGCTTCGCTGCAGGCAGCTCGGGCATGTCCTCATCCTTATCTGGATGCCCATCGTCGTCGCTATCGCTGCTGGTCATCGATCTTCTGTCCGAGCTGGAGCCTCGTTCCTGTCGCTTCGGCGAGTCCTCGTCGTCGTCTTCGTCCTCGTCCTCGTTCCGCTGCTTATCCGCATCCCCCTTGTCCGCCGCCAGCTTGCGATGCTTGCGCTTATGTACGTGCTCCATTTCCTTCATGAAGTCGTCGATATTCTGACTGCTGGGCTCCGCCGTCTCCCTCTCTCTGTCTGCCTTATCTTTGGCCTTGGTCTGTGGCGACTCCTGCTCGGATTCGTTCTCCTCAGCTTCGCCATCGTAGTCCGAATTGCCCTCGGCATTTGAGTCGAGCTCGGACATGGCGAATAGATCCGGCGGTGGTCCCGGCGGTACGCCCAGCCAGTCTTTTTCCTCATCGTCTTTCGATTTCTCGGCCTGCGCCGATTCACTACCAGCAGTGTCGCTGATCTTGGCCACACCTGGCGGGGCACCAGGTGCGTACGGTGGCAGGGCCATGGTCATGGGCGGTGGGGGAACGCGTATACCACCGACTGCACCAAATCCGCTAAGGACGCCATGACCACCAGCACCGCCGGCAGCACCTGGGACAGCGGCAGTGCCAGCCGGCGCGGTAGCGTTAACGGGCGCGGGCAGGGGAATCTCATCGACCTGGACGCTCTGGGCGTGCTTGACGCTCTCGTAGTACTGCTGCTTTTTCAGCCGCTTCTTCTCGTACTCCACCTCCTTGCGCTTCAGGTCCGCCCAGTGCTCGGGCTCGTCGTTGTGCTGGAAGGGGATTTAGGGCACTCAGGACATAAGCATAAATATGATTAAGGCAAGGGCTTACGTAGAGCCGCATTACGCGGTCGAAGGTCTCCTTCAGCTTTTTCCGCTTATCCCGCAAAACCTTCTCGTTGAGCGGCGAGGGTTGCAGCACGTTGTACTCTGTAATGTAGAGGCACTGCATCAGTTTGCGGGGAACTCAATGCCCTGGCTTTGCTACCCACCCATCTCATCGATTTTCTCCATCTCCTCGAGGATTTGTGAGGGATCCTTGTTCTTAAGGACCGCCGCGCGGACCATCTGGCGCTGCCGCTTGTTCTTCTTGAGCTCCTTCTTGCGGGCCTCCTTGCCTGAAAGGTGGGAGTGGGGTTAGCAGTTCGCCGCCAGCGGATTATTCGCACTTACGCGCCTGGTCCGTGGGATTCATGTATTTGCCACTCTTGGTGGTGTTTATGGAGCGGCGCCCCATTATGCGAGTAATTTAATTTGGCCACAATTCGAGGAAATATTATTGTAAACCCCAAACAGCGTTTAAAGTTGTTTTCTTTTTCTTTTTTTTGACTCAAGTGTTGGCTAACACCGGCAGATCTAGTGTGGTGAATTGTTTATAGAAAACTGCCGGGCTACCAGCTGTTTTTATAGCAGGATGCTTTTTAGAGATGGGAGAAACCTTAATATTCGTAAATATCGATTAAATGTCATTCTAATTTTAAATTTTAAACTAAATGCTGCACTTTTTACTTGTTTGTAAGCGATGAAAAGAATTAATGCCACAGCATTTACTTATTTCGACTAATTTGACATTTTACTGTTTATGGATGTGTGTTTTTGCTTGGCGGTACTATGTATCGATATTTCTGCGGTGGAAAAACATCGATGCGTCGATGACCGTTATAAAGGATGTGCGCGGAAAATCTGGCCAAGCTGGAAGGAAAAGCCAAAATTATTAAATAAAAGGTTTATTATTTCCAGCTGCCGTGTTAAACCGAGCACTTAAAACAGTCATTTGATTCAAACAGAAATAAAAAACAAGAAAATGTTTTCATTAGGAAAATGCCAGCCAAATTTTTGTTTATTAAATATCTTTTTGTACAGAGGCGTTTTTAGATTAAGATTTGTTACAAAACAACCCCAACAGCTCCAATTTAAACAATTTCCGGTCCACTTTTCCCCATTTATTTAGTGGTTTCCTTCGCGAATGAAATTCTGAATCCTAAAAAATGCTCGTAGAACCCAAAAGATCCGTTTTAAAAATATATTTTTTCTTTTATGATCTATGTACATTAAAGCAATCGTGGTCTTTTAAAAAATCCTGATTAGTATAAAAATATTTATACTTTTTGGGGTCCCCAAGTGCCAGTTAAATTTGTAAATTTCCTATTGGAAATAGCAGCAAAACTTTGAAGTTTGTCTAATTTTGGTAAACAATTATTTCCTGTTGATTTTTGAAACGCAAACATGGTAGAATACGAGGGTGTAAGACGCTTATAACGTTATCTAAGCCAATCAATAATTATTTGTATAGTTTTTAAGCCGAAAAAGAGGAGGAATGCAGTGTAGGTTAGTTGGGGGAATGTAATAGTAGCTTAGATTTAATCGATAACTATAAATAATACATAAAGTACATGTGCAATTACGCTTAGTGTAAGTAATTCTTGGGTAATTTCTTTCGCAGTACTCTCAGGCGGCTCTCAGGTGACTCCTCTCCTCTGCACTCTCTCCTTAAACACTGTACAACGTGGTGTTATCCGGATCCACCTGCACGGCCTGAACAATAAAGCGTTTGCGATCCAGGACATCTATGGGTGCCGATGGCTACAGAGGAGGGACAAACGCAATTACAATAAAAATTAGTTAATTATTTATTATTATTTGTATAGAGGTAGCAAGGGTGGAAATTGGGATAAGCGCAAGCAGAATATAATATTAGGGCAGAGACTGTTAGGCATGCATTAAACGTAAATAGGTTAAACATTTGATCTGGACAAGTAAGTACTCACACAATGCAACAAACAAATTACGTTGTCTCCTCTTATCTTCACTTTCATTTCTGCCTCAACTCAGCTATAAGTTACATATATTGGAATATCCTTAACCAATCAATCGCTAAACAACAGACGCCAATTTCAGTTAGTTTTAAGAAACGAATCAAGTCAACGATATCACATATCACAAGTTCATTAATAGTTATACATTTTTGCAATCAAATATTAACAATTTTCTGTGTGTAGTGTGTGTGTGTGTGTGTTTGGATTGCATTGATTGTGGACTCTAAGAATAATACTCGAATTTTTTGATCTAAAATGAAATACAAAGAAAAGCAAAGGTAAAAACATACATGTGTAAAAAGTGATATAGACAATGAAAATACTTAGATTACATGGAAGACTTTGAGTGACAGCTAATTAGATTTATTGTTTAACGCCCAACAGTTGGTTAAACAACTAATGTATATAGACAATATAAACAGCTGGATGTGATAACACTTGGATAAATAAAACTATGATAGTTTTGTGGCTTGTGGAACCTGAATGGCGGCCTAATAAATACATGTATACATTGTTTAAAATTAAATATTTGAAATACCTATAAATTTACAAAAAGTTAGCTGTTTAGCACATTAAAAACTCGTACAAATTAAAATGAGGGAAATGTTTGGTTTCAATAATTTGAAAATATAAATTTCTAAATTTTTTTATCCTAAACTTTCAGAGGTAATACCTAGTTAAGAGGTCTAAAAACGAGGTTGCTAAGAGAACTGATAAATGTATACTTTTAGGCATGGATTTTAGGCCTTTTTATTAAATTTAAAATATTTATTTAATTATATTTGTCACAGAAATCCCAATAATTATAAGCTCACGCTGTGAGCTGTGATAAAGATTATTTTTACAAAATTTAAGGCATAGTTTTCAGGGCCATTTGAATAGATTTCATATATTCATAGCGATTTCTGTGACCCTCAGCTTGAAGCTTGTGGAACATGCCAAAGATAGAAACTCTTAAACTAAGTAGCCACCACCAGGAACCCAGGAACCCACCGCAAACCAATCAAGGACGAGCACAAACGATTCCCAGACCAGACTAGATCAGAAACCCATTTCCCAGGAGCTGCGCGTTAGGGGTAGAGAGAGAGAGACTGAGAGAGATGGGAGCGGGGCGCACTCCTTAGCTGGAGCCACTCACGTCGGTGCACTTGCACTGCGTCTCATCAAAGACGGTGCCGGTGGTGCAGCTCTGATTGTAACGGCACACGCAAGTACAATTGGCATCGTCCCAGTACTTGCTGTCCGCCTGCTCCAGGCACTTGTCCCTCGCATCCAGGTTGTGGCACTCGCAGCGGCACAGATCCTTGCGGTACGACTGATACACATTGCAGTCTTCAGCCTTGGTGCGGCAATCACACCGACAGGCTTTGTGCTGCTCCACAGACACAATGGCAAACGGCCGTCGTCCGCCGGTGGCAGCTCGATCCACCTTTCGGACGCGCAGCTGAACAATTTCCGTCTCCGTGGGCTGGCAGGAGATCAGCGTGGACCCGCAGCAGCCATTGCAGCGGCTGATTCGAGTGCAGGAGGGCGTGTAATAATAGTTGGCCTCCTCCTCGCCAGGTGGCTTCAGCTCAACTATCGTTGGCTGCGGCGAGCAGCTAGCCGGTGTGGCGTTCCTAACGGCAGCTAAAGGGGGAAAACATTATTTGGAATTTCTACTACACCTATAAAATGTATAATGAGTGGTGGTCTTACATCTTGTGACGCTGCGCTTAAAGTTTTCTGCAATGAAAAGAATTTTAGGTATTGAAATTAAAAGAGAAACAGAAACTTCCTCCTCCTGGTACTTACCCTTGGAAGAGATTTCTCCCGAAACATCGTAGTCGGCCGTAACGTTGCTCAGCTCTGATACGGACAGAGGCACCTGTGAAACGAAATCGAATACATATACATATGTGGGTTAGCATTCATTTGAAGTTAGTCATAGTTTGCTACGTATTTTTGTCAACTAACAATATATTATAGCTCCCAATTGACGCAGACATTCCTTAGAAAAACGGATGCCAAGTGCAGTCATTCTTATATATTGTTTATTATTTATTTTTGAAATTAAATATTTGGATCACAGCGGACGGAAGAGAAGCAGATCCACAGTTGATTGTGCCACGTGCTGTAGATTTGATTTTGGCCAATTTGCACGTAGCTAGATGTGACGCTGTGAACGCCGTGTTTTTGCCATGATTCATTAGCAGCTTTAACGACAGCTATTGGCAAACAGAAGCTGCTAATTCCCGTATCAGTCGGTTTGGCTGGATATCAGGTATTCTATATCTCTATATATATAGCAACAACAGCTGCGTCACAAGCCGGAGAAAGTTCAAGGGCAGGAGACAAGTGATCTTGAGAGGGGCAGTGACGTATCTTACAGATACTTATAAACTTAGTATCGTAGATAAAAATAGCAAAGAATGAAAGTTTTCTAGATAATATTATATATATGTAAATTGCTTTAATTTTTTAAACATAAACATAAATTTTCCCATGTAATTAGTAATAGCAAGTGACTCAAGTGACTGCTAGTAAACAAACTCGAATAGATACAAAATTTACATTAATAAATGTTAAACGATTTAAACGTTACAAACCAGTTCGAATTGTTATGACATTTAAAGGAAATTGCATAACAATTAATTTGTATTTGAGCAATATATATTCTCTAATGTCGACTGCCACTTATGTACTATTTTTATGCTAATATCTTGTGTTTCCTTTTTGGCATAATGATTAATTGTATGAAACATTGAACGCTTGAATGCTTTATTAAATGGTTTCTTAATTAAATAATTTTAGGGGATCATTTTAAGACCGATTTTAATTTACAATTTCCCAAGAGATCTAAGACAGTTTTGGTAGTTTAACCTGTCAAATTTAACACGAACCCAGAGATCCTGTCAAGTCTTTTTCGGTTCAACAAATTAACAACTGATTTTACATAGAAAAGAGGAAAATGAAGAAGAAGGCTTTACAGCTATTTTTACACCAAAAATCCATACTTAACAGGACTGTGTTACGTCTTTTTCGTTCGGATAAATTAACAGAGGCCTAGCCTCTGTATGAGATATGCTTTGTAGAGAAAATTGTACGATAAAATTTTGTTTTCGATTAAAAAGCTGATAATAGAAGATCCCTTTGGTCGTAAAAGGAGTGTTATTTGCCAACTTCGTAACCATTTCTTTCCTTTATTACTTTTCTGATAAACATTAATCTGAGTAAGTTGCGCTTCCATGAAGCGAATCGTATTTTTGTGTTATCACAATTGACCTAAGACTAATTGCGATCCAATATCCGGTCGATGTTATTGTTGCAACTTATGTTCTTACTTCAGCTATTTGCTGAGTGCTTGGAAACCGATCGCGTTGTTTACTTAATTAGCCACCACCATGACTTCCGCACCCCCCCCAAATGCGCCGACAGAAGACTACGGTGGCTACGGTTTGGAAATCTCCTGTTTATCTTTGCATTGACGCAAACAAATCCTCCCAAAGGTTGGACAAATGGAAACTGGAAGCGGGGGCGAGTAAGCCCAAGTAATAAACGTAATGCGAACTACATATTTGTTTTGGAATCAAGACGATGATCAGCAGAAGCAGAAAAAGCACTTACTGTGAAAATAAACTACCAAGACAGACACAGTCGAGTGTGTGCTCTTGAACTAACTGAGTTTCCTTTAAAAAGGTAGTTTGGATATATTCTTTGAAAATTCTGAAACAAAAACAAGTGATGTAAATCACCAAATCACAGTAACATCTTGAGTCTTATATTTGAAAACTGAAAATGCGGCTGGAGGGGCTGAGACTACGGCGTCACTTTCCGTTCATGGACGCTCCCGATCTTGGGCGACTGTTTGGGTACCGATGATCACTGGGATCGGGCCTTGGTGTCTAGAAATCTGGGAACGGGGTCTTGGATCTTGGCCCTGAGCGTGGGCTTGGTGGAGCTGTGAGCTGTGAACGACGACGTGCGGCGACGGAGACTGGGACAGCGTCTGGCTGAGTCTTATCAAAGTGCAAGCAATGCGGCGATGACGCTGACCCAGATCGGTTTTGTCATGGATGGCGCCACGCTACATCTTGCAGCGGGAGACGGGTTCCCTCTCGTCAGATTCAAAACTGAGGAGTTGACTGCACTAAATCTATTTACCAAACTGCAACTTGAACTAAAGTAAATACTTTTACAAAAAAGGATGATGGGCTTGACTTTTAGTTTATTTGTTACAGATTGCTTTTGTTTTTACGGTAAGTAAATATGTAAATATTTAAAATTATTGTTTTAGGGAAAGCAGATAAAACTGAATGGAAATTTATGAGCGACTTTAGACATTTGAAATTGTGTACAGTGTACAAAATCATAGCCAGGGACCAAGCTTTTAGTTCAAGAGTGAAGCTTTATTTTACAAAGCTCGAAAACGGATCATCTGCGAGCCTTTGATGATAACTTTGATTTCTCTAGATTTTGTACTTTTTCTTAATAACCTTTGTTATAATTAAATTTTGTTTATAAAATAAATCATTTAAATCTTAGGTTAACTTACTGCTATCGGCTTTCCGGCCGCGGCGGCTGCTCCCTGACAGCAGCTGCCCTCTTCTACTGGCTGCGAAGACGTCGCATCCAGGTCATCCGCCTGACGGAGCAGTCGCACCTTGGTCTGTGAGGTGGCGGCCGAGGGCGTGGCAGCGGCATAGAAGAAGCGCTGTGACGGCAGCCGAATGTTGGCGGAAACGAGGGCGACGCAGGCTGCTCGGCCGACTATGCAGAGCAGAAGGAGGAGCGCAAGCGGCAGGATGACCAGTGGCTGTGGCTGCACAGATAGTGCCTGTGTTCGGGTTCGAGTTCGCGGCATGGCTAAGCGGGTTGTGTTGGGCATCTCAGCAAGGGCTTAAGTTTTGCGTAACAGTTGCTTCTAGCAAAACTGATACCCTTTTTTTTTTAGTAGACGTAAATGTTAATTGGCTTCTGCAAAAAGAAATAAACAAGAAAGTCACCACAAAATCTATAATTTAATATGTACGAGCTAATATACTTAGCTTAAAACCTAATATTTAGTTATTTAAATTACACACTTGTGGCCGTAAACATTGTATATTTATATGTTAGTACTAAACAAAATACACTGTGAACAAAGAGTGGAACATATACCTATGTTAACATTTTTCAAACGTGTATTATCAAAAAATGTATTTAAAACTCAGTAATATTGCAAAAATCAGGAAAACTTTTAGTATTGTTTTTTTTTTTTAAATACAAAAAACTGAGGACAAAAATATAACTGATAAACTTGTCGTAAAAACAAATCGGTTATCCATCCTCCCCTGTCAGTTATCCTAACGAGAAAGATTAACAGGGTGCTGTAATGCATCGAATAGTACCGTAAAGCGCCAGCCACAATCAAAGCACTGTAATGCCATTTTTTTAGGTAAATATAAAGATGTTTTTCTTTTGGCGAGCCGAAAAATACTTGACAGGATGTCCGGGACCCAATTAAAATAATATCTTACATTGGTTGACCACCGAATTTGTATAGCAGGGACTTTATCTGCCCGCAAAACTTCTAACAGTGAGTGTGTAGACACCAACGCTGACACAGATTACCAATCTAGACACCTTCTTCTCAGATATATGAGCCAGCAATGCTGCTAAGTGTAAAAAGTCTCAGCCTGTCAGATTTTTTCCGGACTCGACGCTTAAAGACTTGATTTACTGAGCTAGTTTCCCCCTGTCAGCGACGGAAATTCACTTTTGTTTCTGTGTTTACCTTCTTTTTTTCAATTTACGAGCACAATGTCAACTCTTTGCGGCCACAACAACAGGTGGGCGGAGGCCTGTTCACCGCTGGAATTGGGGTCGCCGCGACGGTTACGAGTGCAATGGAATGGGGAATTCTTTTCTACTAACTTGACATTGATACAAACCGTTTATCAGAAGCACACACATCCGAGGGCGCACAAATCGTGCGTCAGGCATATCAATAAGACAATCGGGCAATCAGACTGCCGATTGCATGACAATAAAGCCATCAAGCAGGGAGCCCAGTGACTCACGATCTACTAAATAAATAAATAAATACCTCTCAATCGTGGGTAAAAAGTTCTACAAAAAGTCAAAAGTCGATTATTGATGAGAGTTTTTAGAAAAGTGATACTAACTTGGCTATAATACAGTGATCAAAGGTGAGAAGTGCATTTTGTGAGTAAAAAAAATAAGCGAAAAAAGAGAAATTTGCTAAATTCTTTGAACCATTTCTTTATTCCTAATTATATCAATATTAACGAGTTCATATTTGGCCCACTTAATATTTAAGTTTACTTCTTTATTGAAAACTTTTCGAGAGAACATATATACCCCACAGCTTAAATGACTTGTAGGGTATCAGCCAATGCATTGCCACATTTGTGGATGAATGAACAACGATTGTTGGCCGGCTGTTTGCTCGTCTCTTTTATAGTTTTATATGTCTACGCCCGCCCTGACTCATAAACCAAAAGCACTTGTGGCCATAAAGCCACTGAGCCAAAGGCGACAAAGTTTTTATGTAATCACAGCGGCAATCAAGGAGTTTCGAGTGGGAAACCTTTTGGGCGGCGACTGGAATTTCCTGTCTATGGGAAAACATGTTTGGATTTTCAATCCTCCATCTTGCACTCGGAATAAAATACGTTAAGCATTATTCAAAGGAACTAAAATGCCTCAAAAACCAAATTTCTACTACTATTTGTAAAGGTTGATATAAGGTTGGGTCTTCCATTCACAATACAAAATGGTTTATCTTGAGCACCTAAAATTCCCAATAGGTTCATAATATAATATAAAATATAATGAATAAGTATCAAAAGACCTTTTTACGTTGAGTGTAGGCTCCACACTGACTGGCGGAACTTAAATGCATTTTATTATTTTTAATTATTCTCGACTTGGCGTTGCGTTTCCCTGTTCTTGGTCTTTTTTGCGTGCTGCTTAAATATAAAATTCTTATTATAGGTCAGTTCGCGTTTCCCTTTCAGCTGCTGTTGGATTTTTTGTCCGGCTGTCGATAACAGAACGCACGCCCAACGATAATGACGGACCTCTGGTATTCGTCGTAGCTATAGGCTATGTGGTAGCTGGTCAAGGCGCTTTATCAGTTTACTAAATACAAAATAAAAAAAAAGGCTAGAGTAAAACGACAGCCACAGCGATTTACTATTCATTCATAAAAATGCAAAACAACAAACTGAAGACTGAAGACTGACTGAGGGGGAGCGGAATAAGAAGACAATATCGGAATTAGCTACCCATTAGTATGTTAAGTAAAATAACTATTGAGAAGTATTGAAACATTGAGAGATTATTGATCAAATCAGAGAACAATTTTTAACACTTTTTAGAATTTAAAAATTTTTTTAAATTAAATTTAATATGGAAACAAAACAGAATGTATAAATAACCGTGCGCCTTTGTCTTTTGGTATCTAAAATATATCGAGGCTAGATTTATATAATTAATTAAGTGATTTCTACAAATCCTTTCAAGCTTGTTAGATTTTATAGTAGGCTACATAAACAATAGCTTAGTGAGCCCCATATGGCCTAATTCGCTGATATTTTGAGACCTCAATCTCTGTAAGGGTTACACTGAACGACTTTAAAAATACAAGTTCCAAAAATAATATGAAAACGAAAAAGAACGTTTAATTTAAAACAAGCAACAGCATCTAAAAAATAAAGAAAAAATAAACAAAGGAATTCCGTATTTAAATTAAACAAAAAAGGATGTTAAGTACGACTTAATACGGAACAAACTAATTTATTGTTTACATTAATATAACATTGTACATCAATAGGTATCTTTAATTTTATTTAATTAATTTATTTTATTTTATATTTAATTTTTTTGAAATAAACAAAACTTACAAAATCCACAACTAAGCCAAAAATGCATTAAATTCAATTCAATTCAATTTTTATAAGGTTAATTAATCTCTATACTAAGTTTAGAATTATTTTCAATATTATTTTTTGCACATTTTTTTAAATTTTAAGAATGTAACCCCTTATAAAATTTTGAAAAAATTGTTCAATTTGTTTGGATAATTTTTGGGGAAAAATAATATCTAAAAAACTTCATAACTAAGACAAGAATGCATTAAATTCAATTTAGAAAGCTGTTCTGAGTTCTTTTTTAAAAGGTTAATAAAACAGCTTACTAAATGTAATTTAAATATTTACCTAAAATTTTCGAAATAATTTTTAATCTAATTTTTTGCTCCTTGTACCTTAATAGGGAAGACGGTAGCTTCTTGGAAGAGTATTCAAAGAAAACAAAAGAGACAAGAAATAAAACACCGAAGAGAGCACGAGTGCAAACAACAACACAGGAAAGGAGATAGAGACGGTCGGTGGTCGGTGGGGTGTTGAGCAGGAGGGAGGAGGGGTGGTGCAGGAAGAGAAGGAGAAGAAATGATCGGCAAATGAGTGTTAAAAATAGCTTTAAGCTGCACTTGTAACGGAACCTGAGGAGTTTAAAGACGGCAGCAAAAAGGTTGCGCTTTTTGTGCTCGTGTTTGTGTTTGTGCTTATGCTTGTGATTGAGGTGTAATGCGTACGAGGAGAGGAGGTGTTTATATGCCGTTCGTAATCAACCCACTCACCCACACTGATATCAGCACGCGCTGCATCAACTTTTCATTGTTTTCTGCTTCTTTTATTTTCCTATTTTCCTGGCTCTTTAACAGTTAAGCAAATGCTGATTGATATGACAGCCAAACTAGCAACTCCGCGGGCTACCACCTACATATACCTATATATCTTGGCATATCTGCTGTTTCTCCCGTGTTGCCAGGTGTTCATTCCATATTTCTCTTATTGCTTACACTCACACATACACCTGTCTGATTCATCTTGACATTCTTTGTCCCCCTGTATTTGTTGTTTTTATATTTTTTTTTTTTTTTGACTTACGTTGCGTGTGTCTCTGTTTTTGTTTTCTTTTTGTACCCGGCACCGAAAGGGTAAAAGGGTATTATAATTTAGGCAACAGGCAAAAGAGAGATGCCTTCTTCAAATTAAATAAAATTATAAAGAAATACACAAACTAAATATGTGGATATTTCGATTTTTGTTCTAAGTTTTTGTTGATTTGACTTTGAATTTAACGTAAAAAGCTTTGGGTACCGGGTATCTTTCAGTCGAGCACACTATACTTTAGCTTTCCTACTTGTTTTTCAGGCGGCTGCTGCATTCCAACATTCCGAATTCCTACAGAAACAACTGTCTATTAACTTAAAATCGGGCTTAAAGTGCCTTTTTTTAAGATTTATAATTTTAAAAAATTATATAAATTAATTGAATAATTTTAAATTAAATGTTTAATGAAAATTGAACGATAATTATTAGAGTAACCACCTTTAAACAACAGTTAATTATACTTTTGCAGGTGTGGTTGACCTTATCCCCAAATTGCTTTCCAGTGCGTCATCCAAAAGTGAAGATCTTGGAATTTTGCGAGGATATAATGTACATATCTGGCAACAGAAGGAAAGGGAAACTGTAGGGAATCAGATCCCGACTTGGGCGGTCCGCAATTATACGAGGGAGTGGTGTCCCGGCCGGGGGGCAATTGCACGCCAGAAGATCAGGGAGGAGTCTCCTCCAACAAATCAATTGCAATATACTTGTATCAACGACAACCACGACGACGACGATAATTCCACAGTCTCCTCCACGGGACCATGCTGATGCTGATGGGGCGCATCGCATCAGCATAATAATCAGCGAGGAGCGAAAAACAAACAGCTCCAGCTCCATCATCCGAGGAGGGCTGGCTCTCCTCACGATAAATTGTGGCAATGGATTTGAAGTCCCACTCCCCTTGCCCAAGGAATCGGGTTAACAGAACCGTACGGAATGTGAGCTAAAGATTAACCGATTTCAACTTTCAGTCGGAGTAATAATTAACTGTTTACATCCGCATCGATTACATGGGAATTTCGATAGGGTTTTAAATAGAAATAATAAATGGCTAATCAGTTTAAAAAGATGGTAAATAAAATATGTATTAAAGACTGATTGGTTCTAAATTCTCTTGAAAATTAATATACCCTTTAAAAGTGTATGAAAACAACCGAAAGTAATAGAAATTATTGAAAATTTCTAATGATATAAGAAGAAATTGCATTTTGACATAGAAACCTACTTTAAATAATTACTTTTCAACATTTAAGATATAGTTTTAGTATTACAAATGCAATTTTGACCAAAGCCGTTAATGGGATCAATAAATCCCAAATGACAACCTGAGTATTTCAGATATAATCGAATCAAACTGGAGCTATTTAAGGCATCACTAATTACTGAGCTGAATAATATTGATGATGCACTACGACTCGCACGCAAACGATTTACTTTGGGCATTCACTTGGGGTTTTTAGCTCGTTTTGAATATTGATTAAAGCCTGGCTTAGACTGTGTCATTCGGGTTGATTTTATTTTGTTTTTGTCAGGGGAAGTCAAGCGCAGCCATTTCCACGGGGGTTTTCCGCACACACAAAGGTGAATTCAAATAATTCGAGAGTCACATCAAAATAAAAACGTTAATTGCAAAGACTTTTGTTTTGTTCGCATTGTGGTTGTCGCTTTTGCATTTGTCAATAATAAAACTTGGTTCTGGATCTCGGTCGAAAAAGCTGTTTTGAAAAATAAAATAAAAATAATAACAAAAGGCTATGGCTATTAAAAGCTTTTTTGGCCCGGCTTCAATGGGGCAAATGTGGAAAACATATAAACAATAACAAAAAGCTGTTTTAGTTTAAATGTTAGCAGAGCTTGAGGGTCGCTGCTGGCCTGTTTTTTCTGATATTCATTTATATTTAATACAATGGCATTCAGATTTCTGCACGCGCAGAACGTCAGTCGAAAAACAATTGATTTGTGTTTAGTTTCTGATAAATGTTATTAACTTTTGCTATTCAGGCTTAAACAGTTTTTGAGCAAAAACCGTTTTAACTGATCACTGATGGATTCAAGTAAAACTTACGCTAGAAACTCACTTAAAAAAATAACTTCTTGACAAAGTAACAAGAAATATATAACAAAAAATCGCTACGAAACACGGCACAAGAAAAAAATCACGAGAACTGTTTTGTATTTTGTGATAAATATTTGAGCGCGACGGGGTTTTCGCCGAGAATCGGTTAAACTGCGATCCAAGCGCCAGCACGTATCGTTCGAAACTGTCGTCAGTGTGGGCCAAGTTACTTATACTTCGTGCCTAGAGATGACAAGTGCCGTTGCACGATCGGACTCAAGGCGCGCCCAAGGACATATAAGAGTAATTATATTCGAATATGACAAAATAATTAAACCTATTTATACAAATATTTTTGATAAATCATTCGATTTTATCTGGAATACTAGTTATTGTCTTAAATGTTAAAATAAACAGTCGTTATCATGGCTCACGTCCATCTCTAGGCGTGTTTTCGAAACAACAACAACATGCCCGCTAACAGCAGTAGCGCTCTTTCTTCGACGCTCTCTTTGGCTGCTATGCGCCAATCAGCTGTTAACTAACAGCCACTGATAACGACAGCATGCGTGGGCCACTTAACAGGGCAGTTTCTTCAGGGTTTGTTCACTGATAACAGTTAGCTAACACCTGTTAGTACCTGAGACATGCAAGGCGGTATTATAGTGACCGATTTCTTCCCCAGTTAAATGTAATATATTTATTCCAATTTAATCGCTTCTTACCTATGGATGCTTCTCGTTCACATGACGCTCGAGATCGATGGCCCGAAAGAAGGGCCAAAGGCACAATTGGCATGTGAACTGGTCGTGCTTCCGTTCCGACTTCATATGTTGGTTCAAGTGACTTTGCTGGGCGAATCCACTTCCGCAGATGTGGCACACGTACGGCCGTTGGTTCAGGTGCTTGCTGTTTACGTGCTTCTTTAGGTGATCCGCGGTGGCAAAGTCTGCCTGGCAAACGTCACAGACATGGGCGCGCAACAGGACGTGAACACGTTGCAGGTGGGATCGCAGGGCTTCCCGGCTACCATGACTTCGGCCGCAGTAGCAGCACTCCAGAGCATTCCGGTGGTGAGCTTGCTTCAGGTGGTTCACTAAGCTCAGGCTGCCGGAAAACCCATTGGCGCAAAAGGGACAAACAAAAACACTCGGCTTGGCGTCCACAATGCACAATTCCTTGTCCAAATCCATGGGCCAGTCAAATGTTAGATCGTCACCCCAATCAACGCTGGGCAAAATATCTTCGATATTCTCCTCCAACATTTCCAGGTCCTCGGTTTCGTCAATAAGGCTGCCTAAAATGAATGATATTGGTTTATGGATTTGTACTCAAGCATAGATTGGTTTACCCACCAGTTTCGCTGGCCGTAGATTCCAGGGAGCGCAGGTGATGCACCTCCTCGGCGTGCTCCTGCAGCTGCCGCATCTCGCTGAAGCTCATTGCGTCGTGGCTGTTGTCCGCGCACATGCCACAGTAGAATAGCGACTGCTCGCCGTGCCAGGTAACCACATGGCGGTAGAGAAAGGTGGCGGACGAGTACTTTTTGCCGCACTGCAGGCACAGGAACTGGGCGCCCTTGTGCTTCCGCTCCTGATGTCGCTGCAGCCGGAACTCATCGCCGTAGAGCGTCAGGCAGTGCCGGCAGATGAATAGACGCCGCAGCTTGGCCTGGCACTCTTGTTCGTGGGTCTTGGCGGCAAGGTGACGCGGAAACTCCGCCAGACAGGTGCCGCAGTGATATGTTCGCTTTGCCAAGCTCTTCTTCTTCGGCAGTTGAATTGCTCCGCGGTTGCCCATTCCCGCCGGCTTCGGTCTTATAGCCTTTGGCTCCATTTCCTAATTCCTATTTAATTTTTGCCTCGCAAATGGTCAAAACAAAACAAGTCGCCGCAGTAAGACCGTTCACTAATAGCTGGCTTAATACCAAAAAACTCAATGAGTGCGAGAGGGATGCATATACATTTTCGACTGCCTTTTCTGTGAGTTGGTATTTCAGCAACGATTCGATAAATACTAGAATGAACAAATGCGTTAGGGATTTCTAGAGGGCAGTCAAGAGTTCGAAAATGAAGACAGGGTGTATAATACTAATTAATTTATTTAAAAAAATGTAATAATTAATTAATTTATTTAATAATTAATATTTAAAATTAATAATATTTTTCATTATAATTCGCCATGCATGTAAAAAATTGTATGTTCCAGATGCTTCCCGGATTAAAGCGATCCTGCTGGGGTAGATAATCCTGGGAGTTATGAAACTTGCTCCAACAGCTTTATTTGGCAACTAATAAATTAAAGTCTGGCTTTTTTTCATTTTACGGATTATCTAAAAGTTGCCCAGATCAAAAAACCACATTAAAACAAATACAGTTTTTGGGAGAATGACAGGTTCTGTCCTGTCCAGAAATGTTTTTGATGTGGGCAAGCCTTGATTTTAAGCTCACTGTCGAAACGAATAGATCTAAGAGCGACACTTTCATTTGTAAATTTGTAGAAAAAAGTATAGTTGGAAAAACAAGAGAGAATTTGTGTATTTATGTAATTTTTGTAGTTTTTACCGCGTTCGAAAAATAATTAATTGTGAAAATTCAAAACACCCGTTCTTTTTGTGTGCGCAGAAAGAGACTGAGAACATTTTTGTGCAAATCGCGGTATTTTGCACCCACGCAGCTATTGGCCACTCTAGCCCTACACTGTTGCATTTGCATCTGCCCCCACAGCCCCTGCGGAAAAAGGAAAATATCTGAGCATCCATAAAATGCCAACCAAATGGTAGGCTAACACCCAGGCAGCTGTACATTCAGAACGTTTGATTCGGGACGCAGTCAGCGACAGGAAGCGCGCGAGCGAGCCGAGGAGCAGCAACAAACGAGCAGCAGCAGGAGGTAAGCGACGCTAAACGCGGACATGAACGACGAACTTGTGCGGGAGCAGCGCAGCTGCGAGGAATCCGTCTCACCCAAAACTGCACCGACGGCCGCGGCAGCGTCGATGACGTTGGCCTCGGCAGCCTTGGAATCGCACAGCATGGCTGTGCAGTCGGGCGGCGGAGCTGGAGCTAGTGCTGGTGCCTCGATGGGATCGGTCCACCAGGCCACCACCAGTGGTGGCCAATCAGGATCGGAAGGAGCTGGTGCGTCCAGCGCCCAGAAGACTCAGCAGCAGCAGCTGTCGCCGCCGCCGCAGCTGAATGCAAACGATATGCGCGAAATGCGCGACATCAAGCAGTTGCTGTGGGGAGACAATGTGCGCGAGGATGTATTCCGTCGCTGGTCTCAAGGTAAACACGACACGACACCCCCCTCGCACCCTACCGCCCACCTCCCATTCTCGCCTAAAAAGCGCGCCCTTTTTCTTCGCACTAACCAGGGTACACTGCATTCGAGCACACACACATTCATTACATACTTTTGAGTTTTGCAGTTTCCTTAAAGTATAATTTATTGTTCTTTAGTTTTATTTATTTTCTGTAAACTCGAGTTTAAAAGTAATATTTAGCTAGCTTTTGTTAGTCATGGAAATCGGTATATAAATAGCTTATCGCTTCAAACTATCATAGCCTAGGTCATGTTTATAGGTTTTATTTGGTTTATAGTTTCTATTTGCTTTTATAAAAACACTCATTTTTAATTTGCATAGAATCTGTAGGAATTGTAAATTAGTATAGACTATTATTACATCATATTTATATATAGACCAGGTCTTACTTCTGGCTTCAAGCTTTCATTTTTATGGCTGAACAATGAGAATGTTTATTTTTTTACTAGCTTCGCTTCAGTGAGGGGATATTTAATAGAGAGAGAACAAAATCAAAAGCAGCTAAATAGAACTCTCTCGTTCGCTACCAAGTTATAATAAGAGCTCTATAATAATATTATATTCAAACACAGCAAATAATTCGAATTGCGAATAAGTTACTAGCAACTTCTTTAAGAGAATTTTCTGATCGCTTTCTGATCTCCCGAAAGAGTCTTCTGCCTCGCGTAACCTTCGATACCCTTAGAGAATAGTGTACCTTTGCTTTTAGCATTTAAATGCTTAAATATTTACACACTAGGCTTATTAAATATTTATAAATTAACTTCCTTTTACTTCTCTCTTCATCTAAAAAAAAAAAAACCCTTGCAGGGTTTGAGTTTAGTGATGCGGAGCCGTCAGCATTGGTGCAAAAGCAGGGCGGTCCTTGTGCTGTGATAGCGCCCGTGCAGGCGTACTTGCTTAAGATTATTATCATGGAAATGCCGGGCGTGAAGCTGTCCGAGGTGGGTATCAGCACCTAATCAAATCAATCTACCTAAAACATGAAAAAAAAAAACAATGCAACGCTCTTTGCACTTTGCAGATTTCCAGCGATAAATGCCAAAACCTGCTTATTCAGGCCTTGTGCAACATTTTGAAGAATTGCCGTGCACCGCGCTACCGCATCGTCCATCTTTTGCGCCGCCGTGGAATTGCTTCAGAGGCTGGTCCAACCAAAGAGCGCTCGCCGCCATCCGCCTCATCCCCTTCAGATGGCGATGCAGCCGGATCTGGCTCCGAGGAGGCAGCAGCAGCGGCAGCGGCAGCAGCAGCAGCAGCAGCTGGCGTGGAGCTGGCCGCAGAGGCCACTCCCGCTTCGGTCAAGGACTTGTGCCAAGAGCCCGATCCCGAAACGATGGGCGATCTATCGCCGGATGAGTTCCACGATCGCCTGCACACGCTGCACTTTGACGATATATCCGGCGTGGCCCGCTATTACATACAAAACTATGACCAGCTGGCCCACACATACGGCGTCCTGCTGTTCATGTACTCGGTGTTCCTGACCAAAGGATCGGAGCAGGTTGCGGCCGACATATCGGACACATCGGAGCCGCTGATACACAGCACTTACGGCTATGGCGCCCAATCGCTTATCAATCTGATGCTAACGGGTCGTGCGGTGGCCCATGTCTGGGATAACGAGCAGGATGTCGGTGGACTGAAGTTGCGTGGCATTTGCGAGCAGAGCGACATTGGATTCATAACGCTAATGGAGCAGATGCGGTACTGCACTGTGGGCTCCTTCTTTAAGAATCCCCGCTACCCTGTCTGGGTGATGGGCTCTGATACGCATTTAACCGGTGAGTTTAACCAACTATTGGCTTGATTACTTAATCCTCTAGTGCCAAATTCCACAATAATGGAGTCTAGCTTCCTTATTCCGTACATCAATGCAGTTTATTCTTTATCCTGAGAACAATAATCATCATTATTATCCTGTGTATTTAGTTCTGTTCAGCAACGAAAAGAGGCTGGTCTCACCAGAGACGCCCTCGGAGACGGGCCGTCGCATTTTCAAGTCATACGATCCGGAGGGCAACAACTTCATATCGACAACCATGCTGCGCGAGGTTCTCGCGGAATTGAATCTGGTCAGCGAGCCAGCCTAGTAAGCCAACTTCTAGAGATTCCATCTAGATTCGAGAGAGCTTATGATCATCCTCTTTGCAGTGTGAGCCTCATGCAGAAACGTCTTGACCCGGAGAACTTAGGCATTATACTGCTGAACGCCTTCATGGACGAGTTCTTTCCGCTGGAGCGTCGCTCCACGCCGGATACGTTTGAGCTGCGTCATTACAACGGCATACCGGGATCGAATGAAAATAATAAGGTGAGATAAACGAGCATCTATTATTTTTGAAATTGTGAATATTGTAATAACTGTTTGTCTTAATTAATTAATTTCTGTTACCCCCTTCCAGGTGCGTTTCTACTGCGGCTCGGCCATTCTGCTGGAGGGCGACCTTAAGTCGATCTGCACCTCCAATCCGATGGTCACCTGCCTGCAGACCAAGTGGCCGAATATAGAGATCAATTGGCATGACACCCATATGCCCTCGTTGAATTGACGGGCCGTCAAGAGCCGTAAGAAGAGCACTTGGAGAAAACGGGAGTAACAACAACACAAGTGGAGAAGGAGAACACACAACCCTCAATTGTTTTACTTCTAATTTATTGAGTTTTGTTTTGTTTTTTTTTTTTTTTTTTTTTGAAAACAACCATTGCTAGGAATTATTAACAAAATTTAAAAATGAGGAACCTAAAACCCTAAAACAAAAAACAAAATAATGGAAGTAGAAGGCATGAAGCAGCAGCAAACACTAACAAATGCTCTTAAGAAGAGGGTGGTGAGGGTGCAGCCATGATGCAGGATCAGAGGATTTACGCCAAGCGTTGAATCACACACAAACACCCATAAAAATACACACAGACACATGTATATGCATAGCTGTATGAAAAATAAATAAAAAGTAAAAAAAAGCTGAGAAAGGAACGGAAAAATGCACGGGAAGACAGAGCATATACTTTTTATAAAAAAAAAAATCGAAGACAAAAAAAAAAAACAAAAAATACTAAAACTAATTTTGAAAATTATACGTTTAACTATGCATTGCAGAAACTAAACTAAACTGAAACTACAGGCAAAAACACAAATTATATGTATGTAATATGTATGAATAAACTAAAAACTAAATCGGAAAATCGAACCTCTGTTCGAGTTACAAGGAGTAAAATGAGATTTATGAGAAGCAAAAACTAGAGGCAAGCGAAAGAGCATGAATGAGAAATGTAAGCAACAATTTGTTTTAGCCTTTTAACAGATTAATTGTAGTCTTAAACCATTTAAAGGGATTTAATAAACACACAAGTACACACAAATCCATAATAGAGCGAAGCGAAGGCAAATTATTTATGGACAGGAAGAGTACGATTACTTCAACATTAAAAGCAAAAGCAACTAAATATAATTACCAAGAGATTAATTCAATTCAAAACAAACAAAATCTCATTGAAATGTTGAGCATTTTTTGCGAGAGTAGTTAACAAAAGACCCTTAAATAACAAGATGCATAACGGCCATATGTTACATTTTGATTGCCTTCGCTAGCACAAAGTTGAGAACGTAGAAAGCTAAAAATAGAAAATGCTGATCAAGCAAGTGCGTATGTGAACGTACAGATCTAGTGTTTAAGACTGGCGTTACTCATCTTGTTATGTTAAGGCGTTTTGGTAGTAAAGTGCCAGATATGCTGCAAGTTTTCCCTATTGATTTTCCCCAGTTTAGAGTGTTTAAATAAAAACTACATGCATATATAGTTCACCTTTAGCCTGAAGGATTTCTCCCTGTATTGTGTAGTTATTATTAAAATCGGTGTATTAAAACATAATGCCAAGATAAGAGCTGATACGATATTGTGTATATATTATAAATCCCCGGACTTGATGGCTTCTCTTTTGTTTTGTTTTGTTTATTTTTTTTGGAACAAGTTTCGATCTCACATGTGATAACCCAACCAACACCAAACTTGAATTGATTCAGTTTAAGATCGCTGCACCTAAGTATTAATACCGAAATTTGGCCAGAATGGATGGAATGAATCACCTAAAAAGTTTATATTTGATAGCAGAGCAACCTCCTAAGTTGTCCCTGGCCTGTGTTTCATCATAAGTGGCAATGAAAACCAATCTTAAATTTGCCCAAGCTGCTAATTGAACGAGCAATTAATAAATAGCCTAGCAATGTATTTATTAAAATAAACCAACATCTATTATTATTATTTTTCGGCACAATGAATAATGGTTTAACATTGTTATTTCTGTGGTTTTCGCATGGAAATTGATTTGGGAGGGCATCTGTTTATTTGGAATTTTAATTATATTTCGTATTGAATTTCGAAGTTTACTTGGGTTTGCAATTGATTAAAGAGAGCTGTAGATATACCTTAACTGAAATGTTCCCTTATTATAATATTTATTCTATGGAAGACGTTAAAATAAAATTCAATTTATTTATAAGATCATAGTTGACATGTTTTTTTTGTTATTATTAACATTTACTTGAATTTATTGTTTATCAGTTTTTTTAATACTCAATTAAGATGATTTAGATTCCGCAACATGATTATGATCTTCATGTGTAAAAACCATCGCCAAATGTTCGCAAATGAACTCAAAAACGACATAAATACGCGAGCATTGATGGAAGAATTGGCAAAGGGACTCAAAAACCAAGCGACATGAACAGCCGAGTCTATCTAACCAAGTCCATTCAAAAACCAAATGGGTTACATCATTTAAATAGTAAATATTAAAAAAATATATATTATTATTAGGAATTAATAAATAACATATTAATAAGAAGAAAATCAATATAAACCAGAAATATAAATTTAATTGTTAAAATTCCCAACTGGTTTTCGATTGGTAAAAGCTAATAAGAAATAATGGTATAACTCGGTCCAAATAAGCTTAATTTCAATTCGGTTAGCTTTTCCATGCTAGTTTTTTCCAGGTTAAAAAATCTGCAAACTGAATTTTAAATTTTAAGAAGTTAAAATTTTTGCCAATTTTTAAAAATTTTAACGATGTAACCCCTTATCACATTTTGCAAAAAAAAAATTCTAAAAAATTATTTTCTTTTGAACATGTCTAGAAAGATGCGCCTGTTAATTCTGATCAAGAATATATATGGTTTATAGGATCGGAAATGACTACTTTAGTAAATAATAATAAAAATAACCTTAAAAAATTTTTAAATACAGACAAAGAATCGGACTTTCCGGACTTAGTTTCGCTAAATGCTCAAAAACGGACGCACAAGCAGAATTCTCAGGATTATACACGCTAATGATATCGTTAGAGGTCCGCAATTGAAATCTTATTCAGATTCCAAAAATTAAAGCATTTTCTGCCACAAAACCCATGACAAGTGATTAAAAATTAAAGTTTTCTCCGCTTAATATCCGCAAAACTATCGTTTTTAATAACATAAACGACTTTTTTGTTTTTTTTTCTCCATATATATGTATGTATATATATTTTATTATACAATAATATCTACGTAATATTGATATTCACACAATTGAATGCTCAGAAGGGGAAAAGAGAACGTTGAACATGGCGAAATGCAGTTATTACATTTATCTTACAAAACTAACTTGTGTCTAATAGTGCCGCCAGTCGCGGTCCCTCCTATCCTGGTGCCCACCGCCCGTGTATATCTGTATGTCCAGTCGGTATTGAATGGGCCTATGCTGCTGTAACTCCTGCTGCTGCTGCTGCTGGGGCTGCTGTGGCTGCTGTTGCTGCTGTGGCTGCCCCTCGCTCTCGCTCCCGCTGTCGTCAGGCATCGGATCTCATTTGACGTCCAGCAAGCTGCGCTGGAACATCTGCAGCGCCAGGTTGCGCAGGCCATCGTTCACGAGCGGAGCCGTTCGCGGGAACTCACACTCGCGGGCGGGCAGGCCGCACAGCTGGCGGCGCAGGCGCAAATCCTGTCGAGCACTCAGGGCCCGGCTGCCGGGGCCACAGACATTGCCCACCAGACGCTGACGTTCGGCGGCAACGTCACGCAGACCCATTTGCACACAGGCCAAGGGCTCCAGTTGCGAGGGACTGGCCAGGAACTCGCGGTAGTCGAGCAGCGGTGCCGCCGGGATCTTCACCTGCTGTGGTGGCTCCTGCTGTTGCTGCTCACCATGCTGTTCCTGCTGCTCGCGCTCCCTCTGCTGGCGCTGCTCCTTCTCCTGGATGAACTGCTGGCGGGCCTCTTCCATCACGCGACGGGCATAGCCCTCGCCCGCCATGCCAAACGAGATTCCCATGTCGAGGAGCACGCGATGCGGCTGCCATCGCTGCTTGGCGGATGTGCCCCGGTCGCCGCCCTGCTGGGCCGCCTGAGCGTCGGTGGCCTGCTGTCGGGTCTCCGCAATCAGTCCTTGCCAGTCCACGCCCAAGGCATCCCCAATTCCTGCGAGAATAATACCATAGTTATTCCTCTCCTCCCTTTCACCATCTCATGTTATATTTCTCACCTTTGTGTCGTGCATCCTCCTCCAGCTCTCCGTCGGATATCTCCTCAAAGTCCAGCACTTCGTCCAGCGCCTCCACCTCCACCTTTATGGGCTGGCTGGCTGCTACGGTGGCCTTCGCCTCCTGCCCTGTCTCGTGGGTGTCCACCTCCTGCTCCACCATCTCCACAGTCAGCTCACTCTTGGGCCGCAGCACCTTGTCCGTTTTGTTGAGGATATCGTCGTCGCTGTCACTAATCTCGCTCAGCTCACCCTCGCCGGTGCTGGGTCGGGGCTCCAGCTTAACTGGCTCAGCGGCCAGGCTTAGATTGGGAGCAGCAGAGTCGTCCAGGGCACCCAGTTCTGGTGTACCCGCGGAATCCTCGGAGGCTTCCTCCTGCTTGATGCTCATCACATTCAGTTTGCTCACCTAAACGAACGGAAAATTAAGGATACAATAAAAGAAAACAAAAGGTTAATTACCTGGGCGAGAATTCCCGGATTTGTGGTGGCGTTGGCGGCACTTTGGGCTGCCGCCTTGGCCGCTGCCACTGCTGTGGTGGCAGCAGCCACAGCGCTCGCCTGGGCAGCCGCATTTGGCTTCCCGGGGTTGCCCAGGAGGGGATTCAACAGCGGTGTCTGCGTGGGTGAGGCCAGCGGTGGATGTGGGTGCTTCTTAAGAAAACCAGAGGCAGAGCTGGGTATGCCTCCTCCGGCGCCACCATCTCGGGCTACGTAAGGCAATCGTTTGTGGGCGAATGGCCGGGAATAGCCGCCAGGCGGCTGAACTGGCAGCGTCATCAGTGGGGGCGGATGGGATCTGTAGCCGGGTCGCTCGCCGTGATCTCCATGACCGTGGCCACCACGGCGGAAGCCTCGGCCGGAGCCCCTTTCTCCACGGGAATGCACATGATGGTGCGGCGAGGCGGGATGTGGATGCGATGACGGCTGCGGTGGTGGGGCATCGTCATTGTCCCGCCAATCTCCCCCAGAGTTTGAGGATGGCGGCTGCTGCTGCCAGGCGCGTGGCTTTTCCCGCTGGTCATGCTCCAGCCAGGTGGGCTCGTTTTTAATATTCATGGACGACGGCCTGTCGCCTCCAACGCCGCCATTGCCAGGGTCCGGGTGATCCTCGCGATCCCGCTCTCGCTCTCGCTCTCTTTCCCTTTCCCGCTCCCTCTCGCGTTCGTCGGCATCCCAGTCCGCCTCGGAGGCGGAATGCTGCTGCTGCTGCTGTGATGGCGGTCCACCGACCGGATGGGACGGAGGCTTGCCGCGCTTGGGTCCTCCCACGAAACCGCTGGGCCGGCCGGGAGTACCGCTTGGCCCGCCCGGACCGCCAGGAGCTCCTCCTCCACCGCCGCTGCCGCCGCCCTCCTCCTCCCATTCGCGTTCCCACTCCGGACGATAGTCGCCGCGCGGCGGTCCTAAATGGCGCTCCCTCTCTCGGTCGCGCTCTCGCTCCCGCTCTCGTTCTCTCTCGCGGATCAAACGCTCATCGGGATAGAGCCCATCCTCCGGCTCTAGGTCACGGTACTCGCGTCCCTTCAGCTCCCGTTCCCGCAGCTCACGGGCCTCCAGCCAGGCATCGCGCTCCCGCGACGAGTACCGTGCGTCCAGATAGGCGCGCTTGTAGGCCCTTTCGCGCTCCTCCTCGGAGTACAGTTCCCTGGGATCCCGCATCCTGGGCGGATAATGCTCCGGCGGCAGGGGACTTATATCCCTACGCCGATACCTGCGCATTTCGTCCATCAGGCCGTGGTTGTGCCGCTCCTCTAGATAGTCCTGCTCCCGCTCATATGGATCCAGCTCTCTTTTATCCCGTACATGGCGTCCACCGCCGCTGCCCCGCTCGCGTTCTCGCTCTCTTTCGACGGTGTCCAGAGACCGTTCTCTGCTGCCGCCATACGGCGGCATATCCAAGTCCCGCCCAGGACCACTACGCTTCCCGCCGCCGCCCTCTTCCTCCTCCTGTCGGCGCAGCTTCTCGCGGGCCAAGCGTTCGCGCTCCCTCTGCCGTTCTTGGCAGCGTGCCAGTGCTTCGGCCCGTTCCTTATCCCTGGCTGCTTCCCGCTCCGCTCGGTCACGCTCCCGGTCCCTGCGATCTCGCTCCCTTAGGGAGAAATCATTGCGTTCGCGTTCCCTTTCACGCTCGCGTTCGCGCTCCCTTTCTCGTTCCCGTTCCAAGGACGGAGTGCGTCCGCGCGCTCGCGTCTGGATGATGATCTTTTCCCGCGACATCAGCTGGTGATGCATGCGCGAGGATGAGCCGCCGCCGCCGCCTCCAACTCCCGGACCTAAGCCTGTGATACAAGCAGAAAAAAGTATAAATTTCGAGTGATGGAAAGGACGCACATGGATATGCAAGAGGGTAGATGTACATGGGTATGTGCGTACCTGGACTCTTCTGCCGCTGCTTACCCACGATGTCTTGGTGAATGCGTATCTTGGTGGTGGTGGTGGTGCTGCTACTCGGTGGACTCCTGCTGCTACCAAGGCGATGGTGATCCCGCTCCCTGTCCCGTTGCACTGCCCGCAATTTCTCTCGCTCCCGCTGCTCCTTGCTGGCGGCCCGCAATCTTTTCCGTTCTGCCAGCTTCTTGAGTTTGGCCCGCGTGGCGGGCGATAGGGAACGATGGACATGGCCACTGAGGGCGGCGGCAGCGCGCTTTTTGAGACGGGCCTCCTTCAGCTTGCGCTTGATGTGATTCCGCTTGGCCACCAGCTTCTTTTGGACGTGATCCCTCTTGTCGCGCTTACGGCGCGAGTGTTCGTCGCCCGAGGTGCTGCCACCCCGGCGGGAGCTCTTTTTCTTGCGATGATGACGTTCCGCGGAGCGCGGATGATGGCCGTGGGCACCATGTGGATGCGGGTGGCCGTGCACGCTGCCGGGCCCGCCCACACCTACACCAACGCCGCCCACGCCCTGCTCGCTGTCCGTGCTGCTGTAGGAGCTGCTGCCGCTGTCCGAGTCCGACGTGGAGTCCGAGCTGCTCGAGTGCGTTGCACTGTGGCGGGCGGCCTTCTTGTATCGGCGCAGCGTCTCCTTGGCCTTCTTTTCCATCGCCGCGATCTCCGCTAGCCTGCGCGCCTCCGTTTTGGCTGCTTTATTGTAGAGCTGGGAAACTATCGATGGTACTATCGAGGTATCGACTTTTTCCTTTTTTTGAGCCACCATCGATAGTTTTTTATCACTATCGATAGTACGGGACTATTTTTATATCTCTGCTTTGTTGCTGAAATTTAGTAAGAAAAATGCAAACAAATATATATATATATGTATATATATATTTTTTTTTTTATAATAAAAATGTATTCTAAATTAACTTAAATTGGAGTTGGTGGTGAAAAATATTAACTGAATCTCAAAAGAAAGGGTGCGTCTACGCCACGTCTTCAGAGTCTAAGCGTATGTTTAGCAATGGTAATACAATTTTATTTGTGCAAAGTTGCTTGGATAGAATATTTATGTTAATTACTTAGTCAAAACATATTGAATAGTATTATAATTCTATTTGAAATTGCTATAACTTTAATTTGCAAAAAGAATCGTAAAAAAACGATACTATCGATAGTATCGAATTTTCGTTTTCAAAACATCGAAAATATCGAATGGTGTCACTATCGATAGTTTCCCAGCTCTACTTTATTGTTCTCTTTCACGGGATTATTTGGATAAATTAGCTTCGTTTTTCGGCGCCTCCGACTTCGTTTTTATTTTTCTATCAATATGTCAAAACATCAATATATCGATATTTCTCCTGAAAATGATATCGAAGTCGCGATGTTTTTATTCGGTATACCGATATATTTTGATCTGGTACTTGTGGTCGCTTGTTTACTGACGATCTGGTACTTTCAACGGAAAGTCTGGTAGCACTGGCATGCAAAACATTTATCGATAAGTTAAAAGATGCGAAAGTAATCGAATATTCCCCTAACGGTCTCTTGAATTCAAATTAATCATTGCAAGAACATTTTATTGTGTGAAAGTAAGTTATTCGAGTATAGTTTACTCCATTGTGAAGTGTTAAAATTCCACTATTGGAAGAGTCCCTAGCATTGTGTATGTCGAGTTTGCACTTGAGATCAGATCAGTTCAACGTGAAATTATTGTTTGCTTAGTCTAGAGTTTAAATAATCCTAGGCCTTTGCCTCAAGGAGCGCGTCGGTCTTGAGCTGTGGCTTCCCCTTCTTCGCCATTCCACCCATGAGTTGCTTTAGCTGGACGATGGCCTTGGCCGGATTCAAGTGTTTCGGGCAGGTGTTGGTGCAGTTCAGGATCGTGTGGCAGCGATACACCTTCCATGGATCGGATAGGAAGTTTAGGCGCTGTTCGGTGGCTTCGTCCCTAAAAAGAGAGAGGAACATGTTAAAATAAATCCCTTGTCGGGATCAAGCAGGCTTTCACCTGGAATCGATGACCCAGCGGTAGGCCTGCATGAGGACCGCTGGTCCCAGGTACTTGTCACTGTTCCACCAGTACGAGGGACAGGATGTCTGGCAGCAGGCGCACAGGATGCACTCGTAGAGCCCGTCCAGGGTGCTTCGATCCTCGATTGACTGCAGGTACTGAGCCGTCCCAGGCTCGTGCTTCTTGTTTTTGCGCTGCAGCCAGGGCTGGATGGAGGTGTACTGGGCATAGAAGTGGCTCATGTCAGGCACCAGATCCCGCACCACATACAGGTGGGGCAGGGGATAGATGCGACAGGTGCTACCCTCGTTTTTATCAATCGAGGTGACGCAGGCGAGGGTATTGGTGCCGTTGATGTTCATCGCACATGAACCGCAGATCCCCTCGCGACACGATCGCCGGAAGGTGAGCGTGGGATCCAATTCGGTCTTGATCTTGATCAGAGCGTCCAGTACCATGGGACCGCACTTTTCCAGATCCACGGAGAAGCGCTGCACGTGTGGCTGATCCCCGGGCTTCCAGCGGTATATATCGAAGTTTTTCATTCGCGGTTTCTTCTCGGTGGGAGGGGAGTCTGGGGGCTGCTTGGTGGGTTTTGAAAGGGGACCGGAAGGGGCAAGTGGAGGAGGTTGTGTGGTGTATGCAGCAGTTGGCTTTCCGGTGGTTATTCCTCCCGACTCGGTGGCGGAGGTGGTGGCGGAGGCTCCTCCTCCCGCCTTTCCTCCTGGTGGTGATGTGTCTGATGTGGTGGTTGCTCCTCCACTTTTTCCTCCTGGTGCTGGGTCTGATGATGCGGGTGGTGCGGTTGGTGTGGGTGGCCCTCCACCTCCTCCTTCACCTCCTCCTGTGTAGTAGGCTCTTCTGCGGGCTGATCCTCCTGCATCAAAATTACATGTTTATCATTCTACTCTTTTACAGGCGAGGCGATTAACATAAAAATTGAGGTGGGTGTAGGATGTACCACAATTTCACTGTCAAGATACCGTAGCACATGGTAGAATTAGTCAACAAAGTTGGTAAGCTAGTTAAATTCAACCAAATCTGCAGATAAAACCACAGTAATTGGTTGAATTACGCGGAGAGAGTAAATGTGTAAATTCAAAAATTATACACCCACCGTGTGTTCTTTGTGTTCCTTGTGTTTCCTGTGCTCCTGATCCTCCCACCCTGGATAATGAGTGGGGAACCATGGATATGGCGGTGGATATTGTGTAAACCGTCCTGGGTCCGAGGATCGCGGCGGACACAGCCGTCGTAAGATCGGAAGCGGATTTGGACACATCCTTTGCGCCCAAGATTCGCTTAAGATCTGTTTGATTCACCCACGTATTATATAAAGGCCTGAGCCTTTGCTGCCGGCGCAGCAAGTACATCGAATTAGGGTAGAATATTTGAGAACTGTGATTTTTTCTAAGCCAAAAATAATATTTCAAAAATAAATTTTAGTTCGGGAGCGAATGTATGGGTTAGTGTTGATATCTTTGAATGTGTATAGAAACTGATGAAACGATTGAACTGAGTTGTAAATACGACTTGATCCTAGATGCACAGGCATCTTGATTGTGAGAATTCAATTCTCAAACAGAGGTTTTTGAAATCGAAATGAAATTGTTGTTGATTGAGTAGTCAACCTTGGAGACCAAAATAAATTACTCTACATTTTTCTTACTATAGTTTTCCTTGGTTTTTTTTTTTTTTTTGATTAGTCTGTTTTTCTGGATTAGTAAACCTCCTAAAATTAAGATAAATAAAACAAAATATTTAAAACAACCATTGGATTTTCTTTTTTTCATATAGTTTCTATAGTTTATTTCTTTTAGGTATTACAGCACGAATTTATTAATCTTAGCAAAGATTTTTCTGCTGCTCTTTATGTTACGTTTGTTCTAGACATATACGCCGCCGCGCCACGCCGCCGCCGCCGCCGATTTTTGCCTTATTTGACGCGCCGCCGCCAAATTATGAAAATAACGGCGCGCCGCGGCGCGCCGCTGGTGCGGCATCGGCGCAGCTTCAGCGCGGCCTTCAGTGTCATTGTTCTTTATAAAACTTAAAAAAAATAAATAACTCATTAAAATGGCCTTTTTGCCTTATTTGACGCGCCGCCGCCGCCGGTTCTTTCTGACTACTACGCCGCCGCCGCCGAGTCATTTTGACCTCTACGCCGCCGCCGATGCCTTTAACCATCGGCGTAAACCTCTAGTTTGTTCTGCTATTGTTTTTGCTTCTGTGTTGTATATGAATTTTTGTAATCTTAAGTTTATATTTGATTCGCTAAAAACTCATTTTAAAAAAGTATTTTGTATTTTTGCATTTTTTTTTTTGTTTGTTTTCGTTTCATTTTTATTTGTTTATTTGTTATTTTGTTATCATTTTGTTTGTTTTGTTTTGGTTCTGCATAATATGTAATTTGTTGTTAGGCCTTTGGTTAGCAATAATAATCGTTATAATCATACGCAAGTAAATTGTTGGAGTTGGATATTACTGAGTGGTTAGATAGATAAGTAGTTCTTGTTGTAAACTTGTTTAATATGCAGTGAAAATATACGTTACAAAAAACACATCAATTGCCGAACCACACAAACGCACAAAAATCGATCCTTGGCGATCGGTGATCGGTAATCGTTAATCGGTAATCAATAATTGTTCATCGTGTCTTCTTGGTTTCTTGTTAGGAATCACAGTATTGTGCAAATTACCCTTATTAGATTGAAAAATGTTTGCATTTCCTTTGGATGTTGGTTAGCTTGCTTTTAATCGGTTCTCTGAATTCTGCAAGTAGCTCATACAATATAAATACTGTAAATGTCTACGTAAATGTTAATGTTAAATAGAACCAGACACGGGCAGTGCAGTTGTTGTGGCTCTCTTGGTAATCTTTGCTCTGTTATCGAAAGCGAACGATTGTTCCGATAACTCCACCGATGAACACTTTAGTTTGTTTGGTTTTCTATACGACAAAGAAGGAAATATACATACATAAGTGTAGGGTATTTGGTATTCAGTATTCGATTTCTTGTTTTCCACTTTGTTATTGACTATTTTGAGTTTTCATTTTGGGGAATCACAATATCTATGCAAAATCTTATAAATCTCTCTATATGTTTTTTGTATATATATCGCTTTGTCGTGAACATTAGATTTAGATCGTTGTCCTCTATACTGTAAATATATATCATATATCCATATATCCATGTATATATACGTGTATGTTTTGTATAGCAAGTTTTGTTTGTATTGTTTTATGCAGTGTCCTTCGTCCTTCGTCCCTCGTCCCTCGTCCCTCGTCCCTCGTCCTTGTGTTTGTCCTCCCTCTGACCTAGTTCTGATACTTGCTTCCTTTCCCTCCCTCACTACTTCCTCCTCGTATATCTGCTTCGTCGTCAATCGTTGGGATATGCGTGGTGCAGGTGAAATGTGTGTGGATCGTTCGGTTGTGTGGGCTAGTTTGGGGATCGATTTATTCGATTCGAAACTATGTAGAAGCCGGGGATTACAGTTCATTACATATACATAGCTTTTAATTAATTTAAATAACAACAAACAGAACGCCGTGCACAAAATATGAATCATCAAATTACACATCTTCACTTTCATTTTCATTTCCATTTTTTTTATTTTTTTTTAAATCTAATGCAAAAATTTGACTAAGCAACCCTGTATGTTTGTTAAGGACCAAATAATCATAAGCTTATATATCCACCTAATAATCTAATCATACTGCCTAATTTGCAAAGGAAATCAGAATACGAGTTAACTCTCCACGAAAAAAACTGAGTCCGTTCTGGGTTTCTTCTGTGTGTTATTAGTGCAAAGCAGTTAGTTCTCTTAAAAAGCGGCAGAGAAGACTTTCAAAAGACAAATGTTAAATTCTTGTTGTTCTTTTATTTATTTATTTGTTCTTTACGTATTAGATTCTAATGCCACTTTGTGTGTTTTTTAGTTTAGAAAAAAAATATATATACGAATACGTAGTTCTTATTACAAATATCTGGATTAAGCGGAAACCAGAGAAGCATCTCTATGGATTGCCTCTTGAGGGTCTTGACATTTCAACTAAAATAAGTGGGGCATACTACGAGTATATGGAACAATCAGAGGTTCTTGTTTACTGCATATCATATAGGTGTGTACAACTAATTTGTTAATTAACTAATTTGCTTTACTTAAACGATTAATGGACAAAATGAAAGGTTTTTGTATCTTTTTAAGCACTATGACAAATTGCATTACACTATGGACGAAAATCAGAAACTTATATACGATATATACGAATGGCCGCCAAAAATGGATTGGTAACTTCCCAGCAGACAAAAACGTTCGTTTATGATATTAAAAACGATCGTTTTGCGGACAAAACGTTAGATTCAGACTCGTAAACGATAATAAAGTGGGTTTTGTGGCAGCAAGTGCTCTCAAATCCGAATTAGATTTCAATTGCGGACCTTTTACGATATCATTAGCGGGTATAATCGCAATAGTCGTTCGCTATTTGTCCGTTTGCGCGTCCGTTTTTGAGCATTTAGCGAAACTAATGCGGCAAGTCCAATTCTTTGCACGTTTTTAATATCTTTAGCGGACATTTTTCGAATCAAGTCCGCTTCTATGTCTGCTGGGCTGTAACTATTGATCTTTTGAAAAAACTGGCGATTGAATTCTTAGCTCTCGACGTTGTATATACTGTGGCAAGAAGTAAAGAGCCGCTGACTTGCTGCTAATTGAACACATGCTTTTGTTTTGGTTAGTCATACATTAACGAGCAGTTCTGTATAATTGATTGCTGGATAGAGACGAGTTGGCCTGAATCCTGAGTGTTTTGGCATTATCTTCGCAATTCAGTCACCCAATTGATCGAAGTTGCCTGCCTGACGCTAGCGTTAGCCTTGATCTTTGTACGTTTTGAACGAATCTTAGTTTCGACTGGAATAGTTTTACATTTATTATGGATGATGATTAATTATGATGCACTCAATCCTCAATTATTGCATTCTTTCCCACTCGATCGCCCAGTTTTCCTACTCGACTGAAACTCCATTTAAATCGGTGGTCCGCACCAAGTGAGAAATTAAATAAAGTTCAGATTTAGGTGAAAGCACTGATTCTTCTTTTCATTCTTAGTCGGCAAAGAAATTGTCTGTGCGGACCACAGATTTAAATGTATAAATCCTTGTGCCACTAATAACTAAACGAGATTTCGGTAAACAAAAAAAAAGGGGAAAAGGAATGCACGAACAGGCGACATTATTAGTTATTTTCCGCTTCCTCTTTTCTCATTTTTTAACGTTTACATTAGCATTTTTTTTTGGTTTCCTATGCTTATACAAAAAGTTTTGTTTGTTTTTTTTTTGAAAAGGCGTGTAACTGTTTGCTAGAATAATTTTATAAGCCAAAAGAAGCAAAATTATATGCTTTAAATTCATGCGAGTTTCTTCACTTTACAATTGTTTTTTTTTTGTTTTTCCTTCTCTTTTAAGTTTTCTTTTTTGTTTTTTAATTAATTATAAATATTTTTCCATTTTTGCAGACACTTAAAGCAGTTTTTCGTTTTACACAATTACGATTACACAAAAATTTTTGGTTTAAGGGGCGTTTGAATCGTTTGAAGGAAAAATATCAAAGAATATCAAGAAATCAGGGGACGAAATAATTCCAGCCACGCCTCTTAGACGTAGGTGGCCACGGCTCCAGCTCCTCCGTTGCTAGCTGATGCACCGCCAGCTCCTCCTGCCCCGCCAGAGCCGGAACCGGATGGCCCGGCTGCACTCGATGAGGCAGCTACTGCTGTTCCAGATCCCCCGGCGGCGGCTGGTGCCTGCTGTTGATGCGCCGAGGCGGAATTGTTAAGAGGCTGTGGACTAACCGGCGGCTGCAGCTTGCCAGGAACATATTGGCCAATGAAGGAACCATCCTCGGTGAATTGTCCTGGCGAAAGGGAAATGGTATAAATTATTTATAGGGTTAAGGTATTGAATTTTTATTTCTTTTAAATGTAATTCGCAGAGAAAAAGAACACCTTCTTTATTAGAATATAATAATTTTGTTATAAAAATTAATTAATTATAAATTAAATTAAATACTCAAATATTTGGGTATTATTTTCTCTGCTTTAGTCATATAAAAATACACATGTTAACCACAACCAACACCAGTGCAGATTCCTTTAGATTAGATTGAATTAGCCGCGACATCATGTTATTATTTATTATTTTTGTTTTCTATTTTTTTGTTATTAGTTAGTCTTGTTATCATTTTTGTCTCTGATTTTGGGGGGTTTTTCAAGGGAAGATGGTTCGTTAAACTAAAACTACTTTGGAAGGGAGGGGAGGATTTCTACTAAAAACAAAAACTACCAACTAATATTTAATAGCTACAAATAAGCATGCTTGAAAATATACTCAACATTACCTTGAAAATACGTCAGCTTAAAGAAAAGTCAACGAAAATAGATTGGATCTAGCCAAATATTACACTATGAGCAAAAATGTCCATAATTTCAAAGTCTACGAGCCTTGTTTATTATTCGGTTTTCTTTATTTTGTTTGTTTTCTTTCTAATTTAATATACATATATAAAAAAATTATATTTTCATATAATTAAGCAGATTTTTCCATTCATTCTTTAATATTAAATAGCTCTACTACACAGAAAAAAATCAACTTTAGTTGCTTTATTTTTTTTTTTTTTCCAGAAAACAATCGCAAAGGAAACATTATTTTTACATTTTACAACACTGTTTCACTGTCCAAAATCAAGTTTTTTTTTCAAAAAAATATTAAAATTAAAACTAATAATGTAAGGGTCTTTTACACAAACTAAAAAGGGAAAACATAAAAATATTAAAAACAAAATATGCATAGTAAATTTTAAATAAAAATAGAAAACATGTAAGAAAAAAAGATTGGTTGATTTTCGATTTTCGGCGAAACTAAACGGAGATTTTACATTTGAGTTTCTTTTGTTCCATACAAAAATGATTAAATTATATAACTTATTTAGGCTTTTTATTATAGATATTTATGCATTACATTAAAAAAAGGTAGAGAGCGGGACAGAGATATACAGTGCATGAGACAGAATGGGACAGGTATACAAGAGTGCTAACAGGCGCACAGTAGAATTTTAACAGCGAGCATCGTTTTCCACATAATTTCTAAAATTTCTTAGTTTGGACAAAAAAAATAAAATAAAAGTAGACGCAGCTGCTCCAAAATTTGCATAATAAGTAGTAATATTTTTGCATTGTTTGTTCTAATTCGCATGCAACCAAGAGGTTCTTTTCTCGATTTACTTTCTCTCCGCTTCATTTCTTCGTGTTTGTTTATAGCCTTTTGCTGCTGCATCATCGTTGTTGTTCACTTTGTTTGGCAGTTGTCATTTGCTTTTGTTTTTTGTTTTTACACATACATATATTTGTTTATTTTAATAGTCATATATGAACCCTTCTGTTATATATTTGGTCAATTTAAACGTCGTTTTGCACTTGATTATCGGTCTACCAATTGTTCGCTAGGTAGTTTATCTTGCATTATTATCTCCCGTTCTTCTGTGATGGGTTTTTGCGTGTGTTTATTGTTGTTGATTTTTTGTTTATGGGCTCGGTTTCGATATTTTGAGTTTATGTTGTTGTTGTTGGTGCGGCGCCGCGTTGCTTACTAATTAAATCAGAGTCCCTTGCGTCCATATTGGCCAATAAAGGATCCATCTTCGTTCATGCCTGGACATTGGTTGTCGTTGTCGTTTTTATATCGTTTACAATATTATATTTTGTGTGATTTTCGTGCGTGTTTTAAGGAAGAAACAAATTATACAAATATAATAATAAATAAAATATAGTGCAATTAGGTAAATTAAAAGAAACATAAATCATAAATATAAATATATATGTAACATAGAACACAAAATAGGGAACACAAAAAGATGAATTATGTATATTTTAATGTTTTAAAATAAGAAAATATTTAAAGGCTTACGAAAAAATAATGCTTAAAACTAGCACCGATCGGACGACAATCGATAAGGTTACAATCTCATTTAATTACAATATTTTACTAAAATGATTATATAGAAATAATCTATATTATTTTAAGGCACAAAAATTTATGTAAGAACAAATCTAGCAACTTGTTGTTTTGTAAGGCCATCATTTACATTTCGGCTTTGCCGAATTAAGCTTCCCTTTCTCTTTTTCTCCCCAGCAAAGAGATCGGTGGTTGGGGATAAATGAAAGAGCAGCAACTTTTTGTTAGTAAAAAACGGAGAACGAACAAAACAAAAGAGAACAAAACTGTAAGGGAACAATAAAAATCATCGTGCAGAGATCAGTCCATCAATCAATGGCTCAGTGAAGAGAAAGCAAAAGCGCAGGAGGGCGCAGCGCAGCTTTGTAACGGAACAGGGCTCTCTTCGGTTGGCTTGAAGGAGTGCGAGAGTGTGAGAAAGGGGGGCGAGCAGCCAAGAAGTTCATGCAACGGCAGAGCGAGGAGCTGAGCAGAGCAGAGAAAAATTGCAGCTGTTGCAGTTGTGGTCAAGAAATAGCGCTAATTTTCTATTTTATTTTGTGATTTTAAATACTTTAAAAAACAATAATAAAGTGTAAAGTTTAATTTAAATATTTTAAAATTATTTCATAATTTAATTTATCAGTGCCTTTCAAGTTGACCACAACGCTGTGAGCGCATGCTCTCTCTTTGAAGCGCAGGGCATCGAACGAGAACTAGCCGCGAAGAATTCAGCCAATAAACAAAGTGAATCAATTGGAAGAGCTACCTTTTGACTGATTAGATTCTACGTGTGTGTGTGTGCTTGTGGGTGTTTGTATGTAAAGATGGCTGCAGCAACAACAACGGGCGGAAGAGGAGCCGACTCTCTCCCGCTCTCCTTTACACCTTGCGGCCGGCAGGATCTGCCATGCACAGTTCGTAGGACGGTGGGGCGGGTGAGGGCGTGGAGGAGAGCGGTAATGGTGAGATCGATGCCGACGTCGACGACGATTGGGGATGAGTTTGTAATTGCTGTGGTTGTTGTTGTTGTTGTTGTTGTGCCGTTGGCAGCGACGTCGACTTACTGCGGGCAGCGGCTGCGGCGCGTGCAGCTGCAGTGGCCACTGCTACTGGATCGATCGTACACACACAATGGTGATCAATGCGACAAACCAAAAACAAATGTTACACAAGAAATCAAGAGAGTGGAAACAACCAAAGAGAGAAAACAGAAAGTAATCAGGATAAGGGGGGTATTGGGTGTGCTCAGCTTAACCCCATAAAGCTGACTGTATCAAATGTACCGATTAACCCTAAGAACGATAATACCATGCAGTTTGGAGCGTTTTAAAAAATGTATGATCTTCTAAAAAAAACTTGCATGATTTATCAAAACTAATTTCAAAAATAAACAATTAATATATTATTTTTTAATTATAATAATGGAAAAAAGTAGAAAAAATGAAATTGAACTACTTTTTAAAATAAAAAATGAAAGTATTAATTTTTAATATTTACTTATTAATCAAGTTAACCATATTAAATTAAAATAAATTATTGTAATCCAAAATTTGTATTATAAAATAAAATATTGAAAAAAATATGAATTTTTTAAAATTAATTTTAAAAATAAACAATACATTTATTAATTTTTAACAATTACTAATTAATCAAAATATAATAAAAAAATTGTATTGTAAAACAATTTAAAAAAGATTATTTTTAAAAATTATTTTTATAAATAAACAATTAATTTAAGCAGAAAAAAGATCTAATTAATTTAATAATGTTTAATAATTACTAATCAAATTATAATAAAATATTTGTACTGTAAACAAATTAACAAAAATTAGCTTTAGTACAGCGTAGCACTATCGTTTTTGGGCACAATCGGATGATAGCGACGAGGAGCACTGGACACACTCTTATGTCTCACATGGTTTACGAATATGGTTACCTGAACGTATGTATATGGAAAGGACTCTTACCTGTGTCACCATCGCCGTATTCGGCCATCGAGTCGGTGTCGCTCTCCACGCCGGGCTTGTTCGCTGAACTCACGGATTGGCGACCAGCGCTCTTGTTATCCAGGCTGCAATTGGACAGGAAATACATTAATCGATTTGCTATCGGACATGCAAGCGATTATCATCGATGGGGGGGCCTAATACCAGGAGCTATCTGATATTAATCCCCGTTTTAAGTGGACTTACGGTTGCGAGTACTCGTGGAAGCCGCCCTCGTCGGGATAATCTCGCCGACCGTTGGCCAGCTCCCGATCGTGGACGTCGTACTTGCCGCCCCGATTGCGCCGGCAAATGCAGATGAAGATGAACAGGAGAATGATGATGGCCAGGGCCAGCATCATGCCAATGAACCAACCTGCATTGGCCACCGTCTCGTTGGGCACCATAATCGGTCCCTCCACTGTGTTCGTGTCCACCTCCTGCGTGGCACTCTCAGTGTTAAAATGACCATCGACGGAGACTACGCGGAATTCGTAGGCGGTCTCCGGATCCAAGCCCTTCACTTCCTGGTAATCGTTGTTCTTCTCCTCTGGCGTCCGGACCCATTGCGTCTCACCCTTGATCCTGGCGTTGGAAATATAAGTTTGTGAAGTGGCTCCAAGCAAGTTAGTTTTCAAGTTTAATTACCTGTATTTGGTGAAGAAGTGAGTGCCGGTATGACCTTCAGTGCTCGGTTGCCAGTTGATGCGGAACTTGGCCAATCCGTTCTCAGATGGGACCTGTTCCCAGGAGAATGTTGGTGTACCGGGGGCCACACTCGACATATCAGCCAGCGTTTTCTTCTCGATGTAGTGCCTGTGGGTGGGAGAATCCATTAATATAGAGAATCATTTTGGAAAGTATTCCATTGCGTATATACTCACTCTGATCCCTCGCCCATTTTCGTGGTGGCCGTGATGGAGATTCGGTAGTTGGTGTCCGGCTTCAGGCCGGCCATCTTCATTCGTGTGATCCTGGGATCGGTGATGTGGGGATCGTATTCGCGTCGCTCGCCCACATAGCTGGAGCGTACCTCCTCGTAGTAGATCTTGTAGCCGGTGAGTTTGCCGTTCGGGTAGAGCGGCTTCTTCCAGGTGAGCCAGAAGGCGGAGGAGCCAATGGGATAGGCGTCCAGACTCTGAACCGGCGACGGTACACCTTCGGGCGTATCGAAGTCAATGACGGCACTTGGTGGGCCATTGAAGCGTCCGTTGTAGGCCAAGATGCGGGCAAAGTTCTTGGCATCGGGCTTAAATTGGGTGACCAGAGCTTGTTGGGTATCCCCCTTGACATGGATCTCGCGCAGTCCCTCCTCGCCCTCGTTTTCGGTCCATGTCTGGATCTTGTAGCCCTTGAAGTGTCCCCTCACCGATTCTTCGCTCACCGGAGTCCAGGCCATATAACCGCTGGTCGCCGACGTAATCTGCCTCATCGTGAAGTTGGTGGGAGCGTCCAGGGGACGGTCTTCGCCCGAATAGCCAGTCACCTCCTCGGCGGCCACATTGGATTCGCCCTTGTCGTTGATGGCCACAACCTTGATCAGATACTTGACGAAGGTGGGCTGGTCGGCAATCACGATGTTATTCTGTTTCCAGTCGTAGATGTTGTTGTTCTCCCACGGCGCAGCTGGAATGTCGCGCTTCCAGCTGACACGGTAGTGGAAGTTGGGGGCATTATGCTCGATCTCGGGCATCGGGGTCCAGGAGATTACCAGGTTGGTGGGCTCACTGCCCTGGCCGACGACATTCTCGGGGTTCTTGAAGGGCACATCCGGCTGGGTGGTGCAGCTCTCGCTGTGGGCCGACGGAGGCGAGGCTCCGATCTTGTTGAAGGCAATCACACGGAAGGTGTAGTTCGCCCAGGGCGACATCTGGACGACAAACGAGAAGTCGGTGTTGGGCACCTTCTCATAGGCGGAGTCCCAGGAGGCGGGGGTGAACGATGTATTGAACTGGATGGTGTAGTGGAGGATGGGCGAACGGTTGTCTCCCTGGGGCTCCCACAGGATCTCCGCCTTGTCGGCCTGACAGGTGATGCCCATGAGCTTGGGGGCATTGGGTACGTCCTGCACAATCAGATTAGCCTTGGCCGTTGCCTCGTCCAGCTTGGTCCTGGCCACGCACGTATACTCTCCGGAATCCAGTTCCATGGTCTTGGCAATAGTCAGCGAGTTGTCATTGGTCTTTACGAACCTGGGCTGGGCCTCAAAGTCGATGGGCTGGCCATCCTTCCACCAATCGATCTCGATCTCCAGTGTGTCGTCGTGCGCCTCGTTGCAGCGGAATGTGGCAGACTGGCCGGCGGCCACCTCGTAGTTCTGCGGCTCCTGGGTTATACGTGTACGCTCCATGACCACCAGCGAGCCCTGGGCCGATTTATTACCGAACTTATTCTCCGCATAGCAAGTGTATTCGCCCGCGTCCGAGAAGGTTACATCCTGGATTTCCAGATCACCGTTAGGCTGGACATTGTAACGGCCTCCGGTCAGCCAATTGGTGTTCCTCAGCCACTTGACCAGGGGCTTGGGGGCACCCTCAACGCGACACTTCATGGTGATGTTCCGACCATCCACGGTGGACATTGCCGTTGGCGGATCCGGGATCGTTGGCGGCAGGGCCTGGACATTCAGGTAGACATCCTTGTAGACATAGCCCAGGGAATTGGTGGCGTTACAACCGTAGTTGCCAGTATCCCCCTTCACCAAATTGATGATCCTGATGGTGTTGTCGGTGACAGTTCTCCTGGGATTCGGGGGACTCTGCTCAATGGGCTTGCCGTTATGGATCCAACTGATCTTGGGCTCGGGTACACCAGCGGCACGACACTCAAAGGTCACCTCCTCATCCTCGGCGGCTGTGTTGAACTCGGGCTCCTTGGTGAAGTATGGAACGGAGTTGACGTCCAGGATAATGGAGAAGGATTGGGCATTGCCGACGCCGTTGGACACATCGCAGGTGTAGGTGCCAGCGTCGTCAAAGTTTGTCTGCCGGATGATCAGAGATTTACCATAGTGTCCCTGTGTTATCCGATCGCTCCACTGTATCCGCTGGCCGTCCTTGCTCCACACGGTCTGGGGCAGGGGTGTTCCACCATAGATGCAAAACAGTTCCATTCGCTTGCCACGCAGGGCCAAGGACTGGCGACGGGACACGTACTGGCGCACGGGAGCATGCTTGTTCTGGGACGCACTCACGCCCATCTGCTTGACGTCGAGCAGGACCTTGTTGCCGATCTTGTACTCGCTCCGGAACACTGAGGTGGCCGAACAGGCGTAGTAGAAATCGGAACTGGCATCGTCGCGGGTCACATTGGAGAACCAGAGGTTACCCTCGGGATCCAGGGTCATGCGCGAATTGTTGATCGACTTGATGCTGCCGTCCACGGACTCTTGGATCATCCAGTTGACTGTGGGATTGGGGAAGCCATCGGGTGCCGCGCACTTCAGCATGAAGGGTTCACCCTCGGTGGCCTCCAGGGTCTTGGGCTGCTCATCCTTGAAAGCATTCAGCTCTGCCTTCCGCACATATACCGAGTTCGAGGTGGCCGTGCCGAATTCGTTAGACGCGAAGCACTGGTAGTGGCCCCGATCCTCGTCCTTTGGCGAGGTGATCACCAGAGTACCGCGTCCAGGTTGCCGTAGCATACGATTGTCGTACGCCTGCCAGTCGAACTTCTTGCCGTTCTTGATCCAGTTGTATCTGTAAGAGGAGGGAAAAGTGAGCTTGTTAGAAAGGATATTATTGCGAGGAGTTTCGTAAATTATGAAAATATTTCTAGATTTTAGAGGATAGTTGTTGTTGATCTCCTATTTATCTCTATCTATATAGATATTGAATTTGTAAGATACATTCAATTGGCCATAAATTGCCTTCAATTTACAGCTTGGGGAATGTGGATTATCGAATGCTTAGCACAATTTCCTTAATTGTTTATTTACTATTACTTAGTCACACGACAGTTTTCCGCATTTCCTCATCATCATTCAGACTCTCTAATAACTTAATTTCCACATTTAATTTCAGTTAATCAACAGGCCTCCAGGCGGCGAGCAAAAGAAGAAAATTAAGACACTTTTTATGCACAAATTATGACAGCATTCCGTTTGGTATTGGAGGAGGGGTTTCTGCTCTCGTTTTTGTTTTTATACTTTGTTTTATATACATACACTTTTTTTTGCTTGTTTCATGTCTCAAGTAATTGCAATTAAGCGGCAAAAGGAAGTCAACGAGCTGAACTCAGTTTTTTTTTCTGGTATTTCTCAGAGTCTGTAGCTTTTTTGTCTACTTCCCGTCGTGTAACTGTAACTAAGCCACAGTTTTGTTTATGGAAAGAGTATGGAAGATATCCTCTATTTATAAGTATAAGATTTAGCTACAGCTAAGGGTAATGAGCCAAGTTGCAATGAAGCACTTCCAAGGCTTTTTTTATAAAGAAAGGTAACTATAATTGCATAAACTAAATTATATAGCAATAAAGTCCTTGCAATCATCAAAAAATCATTTAAAAGTTCAGTTTTTTTTAAGAATACCTCCGGTATTATTCATTCCACCGCAATTGTAAATAGCTGTCCACTTTAGTATATACAACACTCAAAAGCTCGAGTCAATTATGTGGACAAGCCGCACAGCTTGAGCTTGTTAAGTAAGCGTCGTCGTCTTTTTTTTCTCTTTTTTTGTATTATTATTTGTGACTGGAGCAGAGCAGAGTGTATTTTTCAGCTCTTTTCATCGGATCTTTTGGGGTTCAGTCTTGACTACGGGTCAGGCAATAGGTCAATCATTTGAATTGTCTTTAAGTGTTGTAAGTTGAACTGTGAAGAGAACTCTGCTGGAGCTGAGAGGAGCAGGCGAGGGGGGATCGGTGAGTTTGTTGAACTGCAGTCCGAGTGACTCAACTGATTTTTTATTGCACAAAGTGGGCAGTGATCTAATCGTGTTTTTTCACTATAATTAACTTAAATTTAACAAGTATATAAAATAAAATTGATTTAAATAAACGAATGAAATTGAAGTTTATAATTCACTGAATTCGTAGTTGGGAATTCTAGTGGTGGGAAATCTATGAATCTTGTTCCTTGTTAATTTGTGCCAACGAAAAGTGAATTAGAATAAGTTCACCAACAGCAATTTACCCTTTTTTCGGCCAACCCCTTTTTGGGCTGTCTCCCTTTTTGTTCTGGGGTCAAAAAGTCAACTTGTGAGACAGCAAAATACCAGGATTTCCCTATCAGGACACGTGCATCGACGCGGCAAGAGGCAAGGCAGTCTGCAAAACAGTTGCCAGCGACACATTAGGACATCCCCAACCCTAGACGGACACGACACGATACAACAGTATATGCACTCGCAACCAAGTTGGTCGGGTCAATAAATTCCCATCCAAATGGCAGGAAGGGACAACAGGATAGTGGAACGTGGAACAGGATAGTAGCAAGCAATAGCAGGGGATCCTGAGAAGGCAGTCAAGCGATACAGCAGGGCGGTGGCGGCGGCTGTTGCCATCGCCATCGCTCGACACCATCAACTTTGCCGCCAAACTTGGTCGAGCGGTCACCTGAAACGGTTGCCCGAGACAACAATAACAACTACAATACAAGATAAAAATAAAAACAGGAATAAAAATAACACAGATAACAGCTGCTAGGAGGTTGTCTATTTGAAAACAGAACGATTTGTGCATTTATTTGCATAACTTTGACTTTATTAATATTGTGCCATAGGATACTCTTTAATTAAGAACTATTTGGATTTTTAAACAAAAGTAGACTAAGAAATCACTTAAATGGAACAAGAACTAAATTAATAACAAATTTGTATTTAAAAAGATTTTAAATAAAGCTTTGTTGTAGTTGAAGTGTAAATAGCTACAGATATTAATTAATAAAAGAATATATTCTCCTGGCAGGGTATTACTACCTCTACTAAGTGTGTCTGCCTGCCTTTTTGCTTACTTGGTTTTTAAGCAGCTGCTCCTGTTGCCTTTTCAGCTTTCGGAAGCCTTTTTCTGGCCCGCCCGCCGCCACTTAACCCCAAAGTGCACTGATAGTTTTAGGGTTGACTTGGCTTCACTTAACTTCCCCGTTCTCCATTTTCCCATCCCTCTACTGGCTTTTCTTTGCCAGCTTATGCCCAGCTACTGTGTGGCTTTCAGCGATAGAAATCTGTATAGAAAATGCGCCAAGTAGTGCCTGGATATGCCCGCTGATGACTCATCAGTGGGCACACACACACACACACACACACACAGAAGCACACTGCTTTGCATAATTGTGGGAGGGGTTCCTGGGGGGTTGGGCTCCCTTTTTCTGCATTCTCGTTTGGGGTTGCAAAATAACAAAATGCCATAGCATACTTTTTTGCGCGTTTACTGAAGAAGGAAAAACAAGGATAAAAGAGGAGGAGGGGTGCTAAGGGTGAGGACCACGCCCACCGGCCGGCGTCTGCCCTAACCCAGTTATATATACAGATATACGTACATATATATTTAGAGTACACCTAAAGGCAAGCAGTTGGGATTTTGAACCAAGGGATTTTTAGTCTCCTTTATAATAGGAATATAAATAATATAAAAAAATATATTATAAGCCATATAAATATTATATTATAAGCCATACAAATATATAAACATTTAAATAAATAAATATACTTTTAAATAAAGTTTATTACATATATTAAATCACTTTCATTGATTTTTATTTCCATGTATTATTCATTTCCCTTTAGATTTTCTTAATTTTTTCCCATTTTGAAACCTATTAACTTGACCTCAGGTATATTTTTAGCCGCACTGGAAAATTTAAAAGAAAAATAAAGCCAGCCAAAACCGCATTTTGACTAAAGAAAAGAAAAACAGAGAAGGAAGAAAGACAGACCTAAGTTAAACAAAAAGGAGCCACCGGAAGGGGGCAAAATGTGTATTAGGTTTAAGAATGTCGTTTCCTGCACTTAGCTAGAAATAATTATACTCTATGCAACAGGTTTGGGGGGTTTTTCTTTTTTTTATTACCCATCAAATAATATTGATTCAACAAAATGAACAACGCCCAACTCCGCACTCCGGAAATATTTAATTTGTTCATCGATTTATCGTTTATTATTATTATTAATTTATGTTTTCTATTACAAAATAAGTCACTTTTCCCTTATTTCCATGAGAATTTAGGGTACATTGCCTTTTGGCTTGGACTTCTTCCAGAATTAATTCCGTGAAATGCCAAAAATGGCCACCGGGTTGGTTTTTTTTTATAGGGACAGAAAATAGAGAAAACTCCAGACGAGGGTTGGACCAAGGACCAAGGGAGACCGCTTTGTAGCCGCTGGCAAAACAGCGAAAAGCTCTTTCGGCTAATACCAAAAAGCAAATCCAGTGAGTGGTAGTAGATAAGGGGGGGAAATAGGAGGGTAAAGACCAAACAAATGGAATTGGAATACGCAAGAAACTGGGCGTGTTTTTCTCCATCAACGTCATCGGCCTCTTTGTTGACATTTTATGCATGTCAAACGTGCAATGACACCGAACACATAATCTACAGTGGGAACTCCTTAAATTTTATATTTAAAAAATCTAGATTTCTGTATGTAAGAAAATGTAACAAGCTTCATAATAATATATACTGTCATAAAAGTGTATTATGTTTAGTTATAAATTTAATAAGCTTAAAAAAAATGTTTTTTATCAAGTGTTCACACTACTCTAACATTCCTGGACTCTAATAATAATAATTTTCTTGGTTTAAATAGCTTTGTTTTTATTTATAGTTGTTGTTTATGTAATTAGTTATGTCATATGTATTTCTTAAACCAACTACTAGTATTGGTTTCGAAGTATCCCCTGTACTTCCGTGCATAAAAAACAGGACAAAGCGCGGAAGTGGGGATAGCGGAAGCGTCTCCAAGGTATCAACACACTATGACAACAAAACGAAACACGAAAATGGGACAAACTGTAAAGGGAGGACCATCCAACCAGCCATTAACGGCCGGCAAACATGCAAACATCGTTGTTTTGTTGTATGTAGTTCGATGGAATGGGGAATCCTGGAGGGTAGCGGGTGAGTTAGAGGGACAGGACGTGACCCCTGGCTTGGCAACAGTTGAGAGCTCACCGAAAATTAGGTGTGACAACCGCCCATGGGACACAGGTAACCAACTGGGGAAACAAAGGTCCACCCCGCCACGAAAATGTCCACTCTAATAAGGCTAACTCAACCCAGTGTCAGCTTTGTGTGACAAATTAGGCAATTCCAGGTAAAATAATAAACTTCCTGCATGCAAAATTTGGACACTTCGTGGACTTATTTTAATTTACAGAAAATTTCTCAGAAATGTAATTAATATTCTTAAAAAAAAAAAAAATGGGCAGAATTTCAAACTAAAGCATTACAGAATTGATAAATAAACAAAGCTGAGTGACAACTAATCAAACAATGCTAATTGTCACTTATTTATTTACGAGTTTAGACCCTAAAAAATGGGAATCTTGAAAGTGTAGCTCAAGTTCTTTAATTGTACACATTAATTTGATCGTTTTCATGTACAAAACATGTCATTGTGCTCTTTTTTGCTGTTGCTCTTTTTTTTTATCAAGCTGAAAGTATTAAACAAAATAAGAAGCAATTGACATTGTCGTGCCCTTCTGTAGGTTTCCCAATCTCTCGTTAAAATAAAGTAAAATTACGACTGACACGCAGCAGCATTGA